TATGCTAGACAAACAAAGTGTCACCCTTAGTAAAACTTTGTGTACCTAAGCATGGGCATCTTTTTTTCTACCTTTTGACTGGTTAAGTGCTTGCAGAATCTTTGTGATTTGTGTATAGTTCTCGTACACATGATTTGGAAATATACATATACTTAGGGATGTACATACACGTGTTTTGGCCTTTTACGTCAACTCATTGTTTTTCAAAGAAGGGGATACTTTGGAAAATTAATGTCAACTAATATCACACATTGTAAAACATTTGTTCCGTCATTCTTTATCTCCAAGGATTTTGTGAAATTGTTAAGCTTTTGATGCCCAAGATTAATTGTCATTTAAGCAATCGAATCTATACTCCATTTACTTCTAGAAGGACTAAAGTTGTATAAGGTGTTAGTGATGCATTTTTCAGCTTAACATCCTATAGAGGTACTTCTCCTTGGAGAAATACCTGTAAAAATTGGCGCTCAAATATCCTGAAATTTGCTGTAACATTTAGATGGTCATTGTTACTTCTTTTTGTCTTTTTTCTGATTTGCTGAATGGCTGAGGCGTATTCTTGATACCATTTTTTCATCAGATTGATCGAGTGTTGCATGTCTTATCCCGCTGCTTAATTCTTGCAGATTGTGTTGACAATTGCTGAACATCACAGCAACATTGTCCCCTGGCAACTTGTAGCTCAAAAGACTGGTGCAAATCTCAAATTTTTGGAACTCACGGAGGATGAAGTTCCTGATGTAGGAAAGTTGAAGGAAATGCTATCTAAGAAAACAAAACTGGTTGCCGTCCATCATGTGTCAAATATGCTAGGTGAGTAAAATATTGTGAAATTTCCACTCAAATCAACATATGCAAAGATGAAGGTGATATTTCATTTTATTCTATTCAAAAGAGGGGGCCAAAACTGTAGAATATTCATCGAAGAGTGAAGAAATTATAGGAGTTCCATAATTGGAGGCACGTTATGCTAATACTTGGCATGATTTGATATCTTTTGCAGCTTCTGTTCTCCCAATTGAAGAAATAGCCAGTTGGGCACATGATGTTGGTGCAAAGGTGCTTGTAGATGCTTGCCAAAGTGTTCCACACATGGTGGTTGATGTGAAGAAACTTGGTCTTGATTTTCTTGTGGCTTCTTCTCACAAGGTTAGGTCATTCCCTGTTGCTTTAACATCAATTCCTACACATCAGTTATTGAAATTAGGTAATAATCATGCTTCAGATGTGTGGCCCTACAGGCATTGGACTCTTATATGGTAAGAGTGAGCTCTTGAATGCCATGCCGCCTTTCTTAGGTAAGCAATTCTGGCTTATATCTCTGTATACCTTGCAGATAGCAGTATCTACAGGGCATTGAGACTATTGAGGCTTGTCGGCATATATCATCTTATTGCTAATATCACTTTCTTTGAATCACAGGTGGTGGTGAAATGATAGCTGACGTCTTTTTGGATCATTCGACGTATGCTGAACCCCCGTCAAGGTTGGTATTTGTTCAACTGTTTGTCCAATTTTCCCATTCATGAAAAGAAAAGTTTGTATCCTATAATCAATTCTTCTTGGGGTAATGAAAAGCCTAGTACTGCTGGTTAAGTGTGGAATTAAAACTAAATAACTCTTACCTGAAGGAAGGGAAAAAAATGTTGAAGTGAGAATTGGTGGTGTAAAGTAATAGAAAGAAAAAGATTTCTCCTATGAATACAGTGCCATTTAAATTTAAATACAAAGATATTTATGCATCTGGATGGTGACAAGGATTGCAAACCTTGATGGTTATTGGCATGTTGTGTGATTAACCACACAGTAATGTGATGAGATGCATTTTCTTTTTTAATGACAATTCTTCAGTTCAGTCATTCAGCCACTGTTTCTAGTGGGAGTCTTTTAACGGAAACAAGCAGCTCAAAATGTTAGTCTTCGGGTTTTTTTCATCCTCCTCCTATTCTTCCTAGAGCATGGTGATGCCTCTTATATAGTCACTTGTAGATTTTGTTGAATAACCGACTAACTGGTTAGCTGATCAGGGTTGTCTTCTGTAACTTCTATTAGAAGTCCACTTCTTGGCTTACCATCTGCAATCAGAAGCCATGCACAATGGTTGAGAAAGAAAGTAGACAAGAAAAGGTGCAAGTGGTGTAATATTTTCTTTATAGTAACACGTTCGAGTTTGAGGGGCAAAATGTTAAGATGCTTTCTTTTTTGGTGTATCAAATCATGACGGACAACCACAACTGAGGATTTTTTGTTTTCCTGCCTAAAGACCATTTCATTTTGTTCTGTCGTTTCCTTGAAGGGCCCAGATTGAAGCATTCTCCCATAGTCATTGGTGTGCAAAATTATTTCTTCCTGTGCTATAGGACCAGTTTGTCTTGTATTTTGTCAGTTCATTCAGCAAAACTGCAGTTGACCGTAACTTTTGGCATTCACATTTTTGAAATTTTACTCCTTGTTTGTCAAAAAATTCTTTTGCAACCTTTGCCATTTTGCTGGTATATTTATTTAAATCTTCTGCAGTATTTTTCATTGAATTTACTTTTTCCTTTGTAGTTGGTTGAACACATAAGAAGAAAAGGGATTGTCTATTTAAATTAAGAAAATGAAGGAGGTCAGGAGTTGCCACTTGTGGCTGCGGATAATGTTACATAAGATCACGTATTATGAATTTTTCCTTTTTCCATAACATCTAGTTTACAAAATTTGGTTTGCGTTCTATTAAGTCTGTGTTAACTTTCACTTTATTTTATTGTACTTTATCCTTATTCTTTTTTTCAGCTTGGCAATTGACCTCCAATAAAAATTTTAAACTCCATGTTTTTTGTGGCTAGTTTATGGTAATTTTGGTGTTTTCACCTCTGATTATTCTGTATTCCTTAAGCTAAACCTACTAATTTTGGAGTTTTACATATCGGCCATTTAACTTGAGCAGATTTGAGGCTGGTACACCTGCCATTGCCGAAGCAATTGGATTAGGAGCAACAATTGATTATCTCTCCGGAATTGGCATGGAACGGATACATGATTATGAGGTAAATCAAGTTTCCTGATTTGTTAGGTCCATGCTAGAAATGAGAAGAAAATACTGTTTCTCATAAGTTTGGATTCTGACTTGCATACATAGATGTGAATCATGGTGGATCAATTTCATGTTGTTAATGAAATTCAGGTAGAGCTGGCCAACTACCTATACAATAGTCTTCGTTCAGTACCCAATATTCGGATTTATGGCCCTGAGCCTTCACGAGTATTTAAAAGAGCAGCTCTCTGCTCTTTCAACGTTGAAGATGTTCACCCTACAGATGTTGCTACCTTTCTTGACCAACAGGTATAAGCTTTCCTTTTTCTGGTTTGTTCTGTCATTCTCTCTCAAGGAAGCTATTAAAAGTATCGACCGTTGAACCCAACTCAAGACGTTATTTGACATGCAACGCTCTTTCCCAGCACGGCGTAGCTGTAAGGTCAGGCCACCACTGTGCTCAGCCCCTCCATCGTTATCTGGGGATAAATGCAAGTGCACGAGCTAGCCTTCACTTCTACAATACCAAGGAGGATGTGGATGATTTCATCCGTGCTCTTACTGATACAATCAGTTTCTTCACCTCTTTCAAATGAGCGTTATTTGTTGTTTGCCACATATATAATGTTTATAAGCAAGTTCTTGCCCATGCTCTTTCGTTTGAAGAATGTCACGTCTCATATTTTTGTAGATACTGGCATACCAAACTAACCTATGGTCTCTTTAGTAGATATCTTGTCCTAATTTCACTTTGAAATCTGAGCATGTCATTCGATTTCTCCTATTGTCTACGTGTAGCGGTTAGACAGTTCTCGTACCAACCGGTAATTAAGTAATTTTGCCGTCCTTTTCCTGTTTCTCACTTGAAATCTGAAAATTAAAATATGAAATATGAAGTTTGAATTTATTAAATTATTGAATCTAATAAGTGACAAGTGAATATCACATTTGAGTGCATATCGCATTAAGTGATAAGTGAATAATTTATATCACTTAATTTTGTGAGTACGTTTTGTTTAGGAAATTCAATGCCACTTAATGAATTTATATGTTCAATTTTTAGTTATTAGACGGTCTGAATATGTTAAGATCTGAATTTATCAAATTTAAGTGTTGAATTGGATTATCAAGCAGGGTCTTAAGTGTGGAATTGTGTAAAAATGAAGGCCTGTTAAATTGGTAATCATTTTTAATTTGACAAAAGAATAATTTGTGGCGCTTCTAAAGTTTCTTGATGTTTTCCTTTTTTTTTTTTTGTGGTCCTGAAGTTTTTCTTTTGTTTGTTGCATTTGCACATTTCTATGGGGAAAATTAAAGTTTCTTGATGTTTTCCTAGTCCATACAATTTACATAAATTTCCTATCACCTTGCTTTCAACAAACCGAATGATGCGTTTATGGTATTGCCAACTTGAAACTTGAGAATCCAGTTATTATTTGAAAAATCGAGTTTCTACAATTTTTTCTTTAATTAATTCTTAATAATCGAACTCTTTTCTTGGGAAAAAAAATCCAATTTTCAAAACAATCATTTTATATTGATGCTTAGGATAAACATCTTTGTTTTCAAAAAAGAAACCCAATATTTAAAAAGTACCCAATTACACACTAAATCGGACTCCAAGCATATGAATTGTAAACATTTTGAACTACCTTGATCTAATTGTTCAATTTCTATTTTCTTTTTTGTTTTTCTTAAACATACGTCATTATTGGCTTCTTCCTGCCCTTAATGATTCATTATCTTAGTAAATTGTTTCGCCCATACAAATGTATTTTTAATTTCAACAAGAAAAAAAGGGGCAACCGTTTCCATTTTAATAATTTTTTTTATTCGCGTCTCTGCATAGAAAGTTTATGAGCTAAAAATTACACAACCCACAAAATCTAAGGACCAATCCGGAAATTTCCAAAGTTTAGTCCAAAACTGCAAACGTCTTTTGGGGCAAAGCCGCTGGGAAGCGTAGAGTGTAAACTATATAAACTAGCTGTGCTACTGGGGTTCTGTTTCTCGTCATTTTGCCCTTGTGCAAACAGGCTGGCGGTGTCCCCTGTCCCTCGGCTTTGGCGGTTTTCATCTTCTCTCTAAATTTACAGGTGCGCTATGATTTTTTATCACTTAATGCTTTGTTCGATTCGTCGTCTCCGCAACACACACACACAAGCACACAGTAAAAAGTAATGGTTGTGTGTCGATTTTTGATTCAGTAAGTGGAGATGAATCAAAGCTACCAGAATACTGCACCGCCGGATTTGGCTCATCTGCAAGCCACCATGCGTACTATCGAGCTCGCCTGCAGTTCCATACAGGTAGAATACCATTTCCGTCTCCCTTTGATTTCTCCTTTGTTAGTGAAACTAATAATAGACTAGTGTTATTTATAAAGCCCCCTTTTATGTTCTGCGATATACACGGAAGTGGAAAAAAGAGTCTACCTTGTAGCAGGTTAGAGTATATACCTTGTACTAAAGTGTACGAGGATTTGAACATGTCATAGGTAAAGTAATCAGTAAGCTTATCATGATCTTAATCGTATTTTTGGGCTAAAGGAATGTTATTATGCTTGTCAGTTTAAGTTGTTAATAGGATGAAAATCTCAAACTTCAGTCGGGTGGTGGTTGGATTGGTGGATATTATACATTTTTACATCCGTTTTGAAAATGATAGAAAGCTGTTTTAGTGGGGATTTTGAGTTTTTCAATGTGATTGAAGAAGAGTAGATCTCAAGAATGGCCATTCAGTCCTGGCTGGCCTAGAAATGTAGTACATTTCAGAACCTATACAATAACTCCGGGCTAAGGAATTAAAACTTCCATCATAGGAATCTGAGTCCTCAACAATTAAGTAATTCTGGTTAGACGTATTTTAACAGGTCAGTTTAGGGCCTTGTTGCTGTTTGTCTTACAATACTTCGTTATAGCTTTTCAAAGCTAAAAGCTCTAAAATGACTCTGATGACCTTTTTTTTGTTTCTTTTTTTTTTTTTTTTTTAAATAATTTGCACATTGAACTTATATTAGACATAAAAAAGTTGATTATGGGGAATACGCCTTGGAGGTATTATTAAAAGCAGCTTTAAGCTTTTCAAATTTCGAAATACAGAGATGCTATTAAGTTTTTTCAATCAACTTTTTTGAAGTCAGTGTTGCCAGCTTCAGAAAAATCAGAACACAAGGAAAATAGGCCTCAATCTGCTTTCTGGCTTCTTGTTGGCCTTCAATGTGCTCCTTTCAATCCGTGTATTGTAATTATTCTAGTGTAATTGTTCCCTTAGTTCTTGCATCTGGAGAGTGGAGGCCAGCACTTTGAAGGAATGGGGTGGGGTGGTTTAAATTGGTGCACTTCTAAGTTGTTTCCGTATTTAAGACCCTTTAACAAGAGGCAACCTTTGTGCCTTTATAAGGTCATTGCTGTTAGATACTTGGAACACAAAAATACTGGTCTGTTTATGTGTTTGATTTGGATTTGAGAGGTGTAGATTGCTTAGTTTGATAAGATTAAATAGGATAGTCATTTTGATGACCTAAATGCCGAGGAGTCGGGTGAAGGCTGATCTTGCCCCATATTTCCCACCTCTCCCCCTTTGAAGTAGTGCAAGACATGTTTGCTTTTTTAAATCTTGGCTTCACCTTATTACTCTAGGAGCTTGAATTTTTCAAAGGGATATTTAGTATGCAGCCCTCAAATTGTTGGCATCTTCATTTATGGAGCTGGTTGTGATAGGTTCATACTATTTATAATTTGTACAGGTGGGGATGTTGATACCCTCCTGTGTTTGCTATATGAAACTGTCACAAAAATTGGGGGGCATTCTGGGGACTCTATGGGAGATACGACATGTCCATGTATAGATGAGGTGTTTTTTGGTAAAGTAGCAATATATACCCCTAATTTAGAGTATCCATTTGATAAGAATTCGTAGGCAGTTGCAAGATGCTCCTTTTTCAAATCGACAAAAGAAATTTTGAATTACATTTTTCTGAGCATCTTACCTATTTCCAAATTACCTATTGTAAAACAGTCCTGTGAATTTTTATGGAAATTTATGTTTGCCCAAATTTGTCTATTGTCCCCAGATGCATGTCAATCCATCGGCAGCTGAGGCAACTATTTTGTCATTAAGCCAATCTCCTCAACCATATCAGGCATGCCAATTTATCCTCGGTAAGTTTTGGAGTTTATGCATAATTACTGCTAGCTTCCTATGGTAATGAAATTTTGGTCATAAGGTGTCTGCAACGTGGACAATTATAGTCTAAAAAGCTAATGCCTGGGTATTAAACTTCAGAGAGTGTCTTTTGTAAACTGAATAAATACTGGACTTGAAGATCATATTGAAACATTATGGAAATGACCTATGTGATGATTTTTCAGAAGTCATTTTAAAATATTGAATGATTTATAACTTTAGAAGATTTGTCGCTTAAACCCGTCATCTAAAGTCAATGGTACGTTATCTGGCTGATTATTGGTCAATTAGGCAAGTCTAGCATCATGATTTTGTACAACCTGTCATTGAGATATTCATGGATATGTTGATTCAGAGAATAACTTATCCAGAAAGGTTTTGGTACTTTGAAACAAAGTCATTATATGATGCCTCCGTATCCTTTTATGCATTTGCTAGTTGCAGGATAGTACTGATGGTCACTTGTTGAAAAATGCTAGTGGTAATTCCTGTGTTAACTCCAATTTAGTGTCTTACTGTTTCTATATTTACTTCCCTGAGTATGATCTTGGTATGCCTGACTTTACTTGAATCTGCATTGGAGGGTTTGTAGCAGTCATGTTATGGTATTTGTAATCTTTACTTTCTTAACACCGCTTCCATTTGCAATGTTGAGTACATTTAGTTAACTAACCAAGAAGCTTTACAGAAAATTCTCAGATGCCAAATGCAAGGTTTCAGGCAGCTGGAGCGATTCGGGATGCAGCTATCAGAGAATGGGGTTTCCTATCAACTGATGATAAGAAAGGACTGATAAGGTAAAACTAATAAAGGTTAAGTAGACAGTGGCATAATTTGCTCAATATTGGAATCATTTTATTAACATTCCCCCTAAACAAAAAGAATAACCAGGAGAGTGGAGGGAGAGCGAGGCTAGAAAACCAGAATAGAATGATAGTCTTGTCAGTTCAGCATCGGTGATTGTTGCATTCCTTTTTGTGTGCCTGCTTACACTCACTCAAGCCTTTTCGTCGTTCCTCTGCTAACCAGGCACAAGTTGCACCTGTAATTTTTCTCCCCTATTTTGGAAATGTACTCTTTAGGGTGCTTTACGTGGCTTAGTTTTCATATTTGGCTAATCCTTGCTGGTCATTGTACTTTCTATTGTCTGTGATGGTTTGATGCTTAGTTGTAGTTGTCATTGAGAGATTTGCAATATCTGTTTCCTGCTATTCTTCCATTAATATGTCTCTTTAGTTTGAGTTCTCTCGTTACATGTTTTATATCTATTGCAGCTTTTGTCTGTGCTTTGTAATGCAACATGCCAGTTCAGCTGAAGGCTATGTCCAAGCAAAAGTTGCCTCTGTGGCTGCACAATTGTTGAAGAGGGGTTGGTAAGTTTTCTCATTAGTTGAAATTCAAACCATTAGAAGGTTTTCTAGATGTGCATGTTAAATAATTGAGGAGCTGTGATTGTCCCTGGGGGACCTCCCTATTATTTGATTAGAGTTTGTTAAAAGTTTAGGGATCTTGGCTGGTAATGCATCAAATGATATAATTCGGATGTGAAAGTTTAACAGGATGGAAATATGTGACAAATTGACACTTGAAATGATGATTAGAAATCATTTCTCAGGAACTAAACATAGCCAAGTGGGTTGAAAATTCTGTTAATGTGTGACAAATTTTGTCTGTGCAGGTTGCTTGAAAATTCTGTTAATCTTTCTATATATGTTCCATAAATTCATTACTTGATATGGGATATTTTATTCCTTATCAAGTGAAAAAAAAGTGTTCATACCAACTAGAGCATTTACGCTGGGACATGAATGATAGAAGTACTATTGATAGAGTAACTTTCTTAATTGTAAGTAGCATTCAAGTCTCTCAACTGTTTATGCTTTTATCTTCTTTTTGTAGGCTAGAATTCACAGCTGCTGACAAGGGAACTTTTTTTTCTCAGGTAGTATCTCAAGAGTTTTTATCAACCTAATTTTAGTTACTTTTAAGCTACTATGTTTACCCTTGGGCATTTTCCAAGCATAAGGTTCACTGTTAATCTGGGCTAAATGAGTTCAGCACAATCATGCTTCTTAGTTTTGATCTTCATTTTTTTTTTGTTTCTTTGTTTAGTAAATCTGCTTAATCATCAAGTTATGCTCTTGATCATTAATTGTTCAATTCTGAATAGGTCTATTCTTGAGAAAAAAATAATAACTGCTTGTTAATGCATAATGGGCAATATAGTGTTTTTCACTTGTTGGCTGTTATTGCTTTAGTTTTTAAGATTTTGAAACATGCTAATAAAGTTTGGACCTACTGTAAGCAATTGTGAGGATGTATTTTTGGTTTATATATGAGTTCATTAAACTTGGAAAGGTGCATGTTGAATAATTACTTTTGAGAAACAAGTAATGGAAAATGGTGTTACATGTTAGACCTAATAATGATGAGTTTCTGTTTAAGGGAAGTTGGCAATCTTTTGGCACCCACAACTACTGAGTAGTACATCCATCTATCAGTAATTTTTGTTTGGAATAGATGTTCTTGAAAGGTTAGCAAACATGGATGTTTTGTACATTAACTGTGATTCATTCTGCTTTCTGTTTGCCAACTTCATGAGATCTGTGGACTGATTTTATTTGGTGTTTTCATATTTGTTCATACATGTTTTGTTTCTTCCTTTTTTTTTTTTTTGCTATAGTTGAATTTCCAGTTTATATACTACAGGTCAATCAGGCTGTTGCTGGAAGCCATGGTCTTGATATGCAGTTTGCTGGAATAATTTTTCTGGAATCCTTGGTACTAGTTATTCTAGTTTATGTTTGTTCATTGGAGTTAATGTTACTGTGTTTATGATGATGGATTCTAAAATTTTGTGTATTGATCCAAACAAAACAGGTGTGCTAGTCTACTTCTTTATTGTTCAAAGTGTCTTTGCTCAATCTTGTTAATAAGTTTATTTTGACCTTTGTGAAGGTTTCTGAGTTTTCACCCTCTACCTCAACTGCTATGGGCCTTCCCAAAGAGTTTCACGATCAGTGTCAAACATCTTTGGAGCTGGATTATTTGAAGGTCTTCTGATTGCATAGGTTCTTTTACTCCATTCGAGCCCTTATTTTATTTTTTTTGTAGCATAGGCTTTAGAAAGATCTTTTTTCATTTGATTTAGTATACATGTTCATTATTTTTTCCCCTTTGACCCTACAGAGCTTATATGGCTGGGCTCAAGATGCTGCTTCAAGTGTCACAAATAGAATAATTGCATCTGACTCTGCCATACCTGAAGCAAAGGTGTGTTCTGCAGCACTCCGTCTTATGCTTCAAATCTTGAACTGGGATTTCCGGTGCAGCAAAAGTACAGTTGAGATTGGCAGGAGAGGCATGGGCGTGTTAGGAGTCAAGAATGACAGCTATTCTGCCAGAAAAACTGAATGTAATTTAGTGCAGGTATGAAGATAAACTCTTTTCAAACGTGGTTGCTATTAGTCTTAAGTAACTAATACTCAAAAGAATTCAATTGAGAATATGGAAAAATGGTTTTGTTTGTGGTCATTTTTACCTCCTACATTTAACTACTTTTTTATTAGGGGTTTATTGACATTGTACCTAGTGGCAGACAACATGTATCTTTTCTTGTTTTCTTTTTTTTTTTTGCCTTGTTTTTCTTGTATACTCCTTCCAATAACCTTTCATTATCATGATTTATCACATATTTTTCATTTCAACATACAGCTACTCTAGAATATGTTTCTTGCTACTCATTCGCCGGTTGATTTTGTCTTTGTTTCTCCTTATGTGCTGCTTGTAGCCTGGTCCATCTTGGTGTGATGTGCTCATAACAAGTGGTCATGTTGGATGGCTTTTGAGACTATATGGTGCTTTGCGTCAGAAATTCTCATGTAAAGGTTATTGGCTCGATTGTCCTCTTGCTGTTTCAGCTAGGAAACTCATAGTACAATTCTGCTCCTTGACAGGCAACATATTTCCAGCTGGTACTAGTCCTTTTTGTTTAATTTTTTTTCTATGATATCTGTTACACATCTATCTGGCTGCTTTTTTTTTGTACTCATCTTCATCGTCACACACTGCCTTCCTAGTTAACTTCATTATTCATGTCTATGGACAAGTTTATTAACTTGTCTGAGAATATTGTTTTGGTTTAATTTAAGTCCATTGCCGTTATCATGCTTTCAAAACTCGTTCTCAATGGTTTGATACTTCTCCTCAATTCTAATGCTAAGTATCCATGCGTATTTGTGGGATAAAAAGGGCATTGAAAAGTAAATTGCACTGTTCTGTATAATGTACTTCCGAAGTCTTGGGCCACAAACTAGTATAAAGGTTTTGTTTCAGTAAAATTGTCTGGATGGTTGTGCTCATTTGTAGGTCTAGTATAGTTATTTCCTCGAGGGTTTAATTTCTTGCATTCTGATAGTTAAGAGATGCGGTGGAGCAAGTTTAGTGTTTACCTTTTTGGATAAATAAGTAGTGAAGTTTCATGTGAAAATTATGATTTAGGCCTTCACCTTACATGAGAGGGAGCTCGTTCCTGTTTCATGTCCCTTCTAAACCAGGGGCTTCTGTCACAAGATTATCCGGTTGGAAAAAACTGTATTTACAAGCAAGACTAGTTACCCCGTTTACAGTGCTTGAGTTCCTAACATCAATACTAGGGTCAGTGGATATCCGACTAGTAGCGATCAAAGAAAAGCATTTCGACTGAGGACTGGAGCTCTATTTGATGAGATTCAGCAAGAATTCTTAGAGAATTATCTGCTGGACCAATTCAAACAAGTTACTTATACTTTATGGTTAATTTTGTTGTTCGACTTGTTGCTGCATGTTCTCTATTCTTTCTGTTCTGGTAATAGGAGAGGTAGAGTGATAGGAGGAAATTACGGAATGTGTTTACTGCATTTAATTTAGTACCTGGCATATCCGGTTTTTCTTAGAAGCTAAATAATATTGACTAGAGAATATAGTCCAAAGGCTTGTTGCAACATTTTACAAACTGTTACGGTGGAAAAAGGAAAGAACTTGTAGAATTCTCATAGTTTTCTTTTTCACCTATTAATGAGAAGCAAGCTCACATTACTGAAGTGTATATAATACCTCATCATATTTGAAGTACTCCTATCTGGACTTGTCTGCTTTTGGCATATGGTGTGCTTTTATTGCGAGCCAATGCCCAGAATGATGGATCTTATGGATAGCCATGTCCTGAGATCTGCTGTGTAGATCAAATAGTAGACTTTCCTTTCAGAGATGTTTTGACTCTTGTGCATAGGCGCAGGCACCTTCATATTTATGTTAAAAGGTAAAAAATCTGTCGTAATGGTCAAAATTTTTTTATAACCTGGTGTCTGATGAACAGAGTGTTTGGTGGTCCAGTATATTTATTAAGTGATTTTTTTCCTTTGTTTGGTGGGAATGCTGGTTCTTTGCTTGGAATTGTATCCATTACTTGGCACCCTTTGAATCGACTGGTTTTAGGAAGGTGATCTGATCATCTGAAGAAAAGTTTCTAAAGTGGAACCAGAACTATATTCCTCCAAACAGTAATTTGTCTTCCCTGTCGATTTGATGTTTCTATTATTTGCTTTGAAGCTAAGCATTATGTAAAGATTTTGTACCCTAGTGAATTCCTATGATCTAGTATAGTTGATGATTAATAGGTTTCATCTGGTTACATCCTGTTCTGTCATTCATCAAACAACCTCTGCTGTGGCTGTGAAAAGCTTCTTGCTGCTTCTTGTTTTATTAGGGTCGCTTTTGTATGAGATGTCAATTTTAATGTCCATTATCAGAGATCTAATCAATTCCAAAACTCAGATAATGGGCACATGCAAGGTCAGCACTTGCTCCAACTGCTCTCTGGGGTTGTAGAATGGATAGACCCTCCTGATGCGGTTGCAAAATCCATTCAAAATGGAAAAAGTGACAGGTTAAATAAGTGCTATTATCTATCTTCTGTTCATACCTTTCCATTTTTCTGTTGATTTAGTCCATCGATTTGTTTGGTTTTTTTCCAGTGAGTTGCTTGATGGATGTCGCGCACTTCTATCTATGGCAGCTGTAACTTCTCCACTGATGTTTGACCAACTCTTAAAACCTATAAGGTGAGATTCTGATACTTAACCATGAGCCCAGATATTACCCTTTGGAATTGTGAACATTTACTTTAACTTAACGATGTTTTGGGGCTTGGTTTCAAAAGCTGCTAATTTTTTAGGTTTAAAAAAAAAAATCAAAGCATGTTCTTCTTTTACATGTTGATCAAGCCAAAAGCCATTCTAGCCATTCTCAAAAAGAACCTCAAGGGTGCTTATTCTCAAAAAGAACCTCTAGAGCTTTTATTCTCAAAAAGAACCCCAAGGGCGCTTATAAAAAGGCTTTTTTACAGGTTTACCAAAGCTAAATGCATAAGAAAGTCGAGAACACCTGAAAATAGCTTTTAGCTCTAAAGTAAGCTATAATCAACTGATTTGAAGCGGTTAAGATCAAGCCCTTCCTGCATTTCGATGTTTATGGTTATTGTCATTGTTTCATTGATTCCCAGGCCTTATGGAACTCTTCATCTTCTGTATGCTTTGATGAGTGAGGTCGTTAAAGACATTATGGAAAATCACACTGAAGAAGAAACATGGAGTTGGGTCGCACGTGATGTCTTGCTAGATACCTGGACAACTATTCTGATGGTATATGCTTTTTACTGGTTTAACATTTCTATTAAGATTTTGTGGCCACTAATCTGCTTGAAGTATCTGTTACCCGCTTATTATTTCATTAGTGGTGACTGGGAGATGAGCTTGGAGGATTCTTATTAAATGGGGAGTTTGGGACTAAATTGTAGGGTGAGTGAGATGGTCAATTAGTTTTCTTTAGGAATCAAGTGTATGTTAAAAGTCTTCATGAAATGGTTCTAAAAGGCAGGTTTTCGTCTCTTGTAAACTTACATTTCAAGTTATGGCAAATTTATGAGAAAAAGTTATATGGCTTTTAGACAAGAATGGCACTGAAAATATGCTGGATTTTGATTAGATTGATTGAAATCAAATTCAGACAAGGTTTAATTTTAATTCAGCTGTTGAGTTTACTAAAAGCTTAAATTCGGATCAAAGTTTAGTTTCTGTTTTTTCTGAACTTGAATTGAGCAATAAGATATTTCCTTTGAAAGGTTTTGGCCCAGGGCTTGAACAACCTTTTTCATTTTTAGAGTCTTATGGGAATTTTTTGTGTGTGCATTTTTCTTTTTCAGATTCATTTTTCTTTTGCAGATTGAAGTAGTTTGTTTATCGTTGTTATTAATGTGGGTTATTTAGAATATTGACTTTAGGAGTTTGTCATCTTTTCTAAATATCACATTAAACTTGAGCTCAAATTCCACCCTTAATGAATTTTATCATACATCAAGTATTGCGTGGCTTGATTCGACAACAGCCATAGTTCAGAGTAACAAGCTTCAACTGAATGTGGAGTTTCACTGGTGAAGAATCTGGGATTTTGGCAAAGGGAATGACTAAAAGCAGAGAGCCTTTTGAAATTTAAATATGCAGGTGTGCTAGGGGAAATGAACTTTTTCTATTTTTCCCATTGTTGGAGTTATGATTCTCTGGGACTAGTTCTGCCTCTTTTCACAAGTCTATGTTAGATCCATATAAGGCTGCAGTATGAACATTGGATTTTATTTAGACAAAATGCAAGAAGAGAGAACACTACTCCATTGTGAAAGGAGGTCGATGCCATAGACACAGGTTCCCGTCGATTGTGTTTGTGTCCTCAGCAGCCGAACCAGAGCGTGCATGCATTTTGCACTATGTAGTTAGTTGCATCTTGGTTCTGGTTTTTTGCATGGGGAGTGGATTGTGATTGCTTGAATAATAAATGGTTGTGCTGCAATACACAAGGGCACTCTCAGTTGCCAAAGGTGGTGTTGGCTCATGAAATGATTTTACTAGTGAAGCTGGTGAAGCTGGTTGCTTTTCATTTCTGGCAGGAAGTGATGTGCTGTATAATCGATTGAGGGGTGTAATATTGATATAGTGTATAACACTTGCTGTTAAATGAGGTTAATTTAAGTATTTTGTGAATTTGTTGGATTTATCTGTTTATAAAAGTGAATTTGACTTATCTTTGACAGCATTTGACTTCTCTGAAAAAGTGGTTAATTTAACTAAAGTCCACAAAGTTCATTTATGTCAGTGATTTATATGTCTTTTGAAGTATTAATGTTAGTTTGGCTTCAAAATGAAAGCATTAATGTATTTACTCTCTAATAATGGTGTGTATCATGTATTGTAGTTTTCTCCCTAGTGATCTAAAATTCTGTTTTGACTCATGAACAGCTATTGGATAGTACTAGTCGTGATGCTTTGCTTCCGTCAGAAGGGATCAGTGCCGCTGCCAATCTTTTTGCCTTGATTGTAGAGTCTGAGTTAAAGGGTATTTCTTGTTATCTGGATCATTTTGATAAATTCATTTTTCACATTAACGGTTACTCCTTTATCATATTGATCGTGGATTAGTTGTTGATTTCTATTCTGTGACCTATGTAGCTGCCTCTGCATCTGCCTTCAGTGATGACAATGATGCCGATTACTTTCAGGCTTCCATTACTGGTATGGAAGCTACCTCATGATTGCAGAAAGCTAAATCTTTGCCTTAATTAAGGCAGCTTATTTTTGGCACCAGTATCTTATTATGCCTTACTTTTTTTTTTTTGGGTAGCTATGGATGAAAGACTAAGCTCCTACGCTCTTGTTGCTCGAGCAGCTCTAGATGCAACACTTCCTTTGCTAGTGAGACTTTTTTCTGAGCGTTTTGCAAGGCTTCATCAGGTGTTGACTATTTTTAGTATTGTGATCTATCCATGACGCAGAGAATTACAATTCAGCTGTTTGTCATACAATATCTTCCTGTCTGAATCATGAGCATCCTACTAACAAAAGATCTGGGGTTCAGCCCTTTTTTTGGGTTGGATCAAACAACTTTTTTATGTCTTTTTATTCTAACCTACTTTCTTTTAGTAGAAGTTAAATGGTTTCCATGACTAACTGGGTATGAGGGTCTCAATGCTAGATTGGTATATTTTGTGAAAAGACTTCTGTTTGTGGAGCTTCTGGAAATGCCTTGATTCAAAAGACATGTTTTTGCCTTATGTGGATTATATTGTTTTTCACAAAGCTTGACCATTTGAGGGTAGATGAATTGGGTAGGTGCTTTCGTCATATGACTTATCACACAGGAATTGTGAAAGCCAAAAATCACAAAGCATTTCTTCTTGGTACTGGACCTTGTAGAAAACTTCATTGCCATTTTTCAGTTCCTGTCCCTTTGTATGGATGGGGGATTTAGCAGAAGTCTTGTTGCTGTTTCTAGACTGATTCCTCCACTCTGGATTTTTTGTTTTTAGCAATGGAGAGAGAACTTTCCTCTCCAGATTAGAGTTTTTTTGTCTTACAAGCCTTTTAACATTATAGCCAGCAGCGAAGAATGCCTGCTTACTTTTTTGAGCTAAATATTGTATCAGTACCAAAATAATTCTTGTCCTGTAAAATGGTGTAGAACATGAATAGAGACGTATGTTTGCACCTGTAAACTCCTGAAGCCTGGTGTCTTTGTAGTTCTGCCAAGCTTTGGCTTTATAATCCATTTTTTTGATTCAGTGTACATCGTGTTTGTGCCTTCTCTCATGTTCAATTCCACTTTAGGGCAGAGGCATTTGTGATCCAACTCAGATATTGGAAGAGCTTTACTCACTTTTACTGATAACCGGGCATGTTCTGGCTGATGAATGGCAGGGTGAAACACCATTGGTAAGAAACTCCTTTCCTGGTTGTTTGTTCTGTTGTCTGGTTGGTATAATTGACTTTGTGGCAATTATATTTGTTACTCGGAGGTCCTTTTGACAAAAAGATAGTATACTTTAATCAGATGATAGTTATTCCCCTGTGATCACCTCAAGAATCCGTGACTTTATGTTCTTTGACATCTCCTAATCTATGTGCGCTTTATGGCTCAACTGGTACTCTGCTTTTATGTTAGCTGGTTGAGAATCATTTTAACTGCCAATCTGGTGACCTGCACCGCCTAATTACTAGCTTCAGATTGACGGCTAATTTACAATTTGTAGATGTGTAATTACAAGAGATCACCCGTTATCATCTCTGCACTGTCAATGATACTGCTGGTTTTAATTCTGTCTAAAGATATGCGCTATTTCAGGTTCCAATGGCTATACAAACCCAATTTATGGATGTGGTGGAATCAGAAAATCATCCAGTTGTTGTACTTTCTGGGTAATGTCATTTGTTCTCTTAGTTTGAACTTACATCTAACCCATAACAGTTGTCTCTTTTTAGTAATCTATGAATTTCACAAATTCTTTACCAGAGTGACTTGTGAATCAGAAGTTGACATATCATTTTACTTGTTCAGTATAGTGGAGAAGAAAGCAACTAAGAAACCTCATTCATTTTGACAAATGTGACAGGATTGTGATGTCATGAACAGTCATTGCCTTGAACTGAAAGTCTTTGTCTGTAACCTATATGATAGACCCAGTGAACGAGAATGATAAACAGCCACCTTTATTTTGTTCTGAGTTTTTTTTAATGTCTTTCCACCCATCTGGGATGATTGAATTCCCTTGCAATTTCAATTTTTCTTTGTTTTAAATTTGTTCAGATCGATTATAAGGTTCTTGGAACAAAGTTTAGATGCAGAGATGAGAACATCATTCTTCAGTCCTCGGCTTATGGAGGTATTGTCCTAGTTTTCAAAATTTGACATTCTGTTCAAATCACTTATTCCATGGCACCTTACAGCCCCCCCCCCCCCTTCTTTTCTCCTCTCTCACCCCACCAAAAAACAAAATAGAAAGTATTCTTGTCCACAGTAAAGAAGAGTAGAAAATACCTGATATTTCATATTATGTTTTTTTCTTGTTCTGTTTCTAACCTTTACTTCTTTGGTACCAAAACTGCCTTAAACCTTTTGGTGCATGCTTTGCTCCTTTGAAGCCTTTGCTCATTGAGTAGGGTCTCTTTCCCACCCTCGCAGCCTGTTACGATCTTGTTCTCCCTCTTCTGTTCATTTGTGTACAATCATGCCATGTGCTCACAATTAAATGGGGAATTATGATTCTTTGTCATTTTACGTATTCATTTTCTCCATGATCTCCACCATGATTTGCTTGGACCTTGATGGTTTAATGTTTGTGCTGCTTCTCTATTAGGCAGTCATTTGGTTCCTGGCAAGATGGTCCTGTACTTATTTGATGCCTCATGAAGAAAGTAAAGGAAATAACCTCACCATTGATAATTTCAAGGAAAGACAACCTGAGTCAGAACTGTCCAAGAAAATGTTGTTTAGTGTTTTTGGAGACAATGATCAGGGAAAATTTGTTCTTGATGTGATTGTTCGCATTGCAACTGTCACACTTGTCTCTTATCCTGGAGAAAAGAATTTACAGGTATGAAATTTTGAAACTGGTTTTGGAGGTTTACTGTTGAATACTTTAGTTTAGATGTTATTGGGATTTGCAGATCTTAGTACTTTTTTTCATACTTCATGGTTGCTGTTAGAAGTGATGTACAACCACCAACTCGGTGTTTGTTGATTGAATCCTACTATTAATAAAATTGCGCTTTCTGTGACACCTAGTTTCGAAGGTCAGTCTTTTATGTCTTCTGCAAAATCATTTTTTGGCTAATCTTTGCAATCAAATCTAGCTTCTTGTTGCCCTAGCTTGAGCAAAGGTCTATTTGATCAAGACTTTACAGAAATGGCAAGTTTCTTATAGTAGGCCAATGGGGGGCAACAAATCATGAAAGGTTCCAATTAAGGGAAGCATTAGTCTCTTTTTCATGAATTGTAGATATCATAGCGTTCTTTTGAGAATACAGTGTAGAAGATGTGGGGAAATTTTGTTTTCTGCCTCCTGTTCGCATTTTCTGATGCCATACCTGCTTTTGTGCCCGAGCAAACTGAAAAAGCTTGCTAAAACTTTTATGTTGAAATCTGGTTTAACCATTGCTTACTCTGGAACTTGAAGTTGACTGTTTGGTATCCTAATTTATTTATGCGTATGACAAGGAGCAATGGACAAGGAATCTCTTTGTTTAAGTTATTGGGCTTCTTGCACCATATATACCTTTTCCTAATAGGCCATTCCATCAAAGTAATTTTAGTTCTACATATCTTCCGTCTCTCTATTCTTTTCTATCCAACCAAAAGACAAATTTATCTAATGTAACAAATTTGAAATGCAAAGACCATCTCCAAGAGGCGCGGGGGAAGACCCATTGGGTAATGGCTGAAATGGCTTCCCAGGAAAGGATGATGGGAGACATGGAAACCTTCAATCTTAACACTTATTTTCAAGTTTGTAGATAAGAAAACTTATGATTCTCACTTCAAAATATGGGTAGAATAATCATACTCCAGGCATAGTTAAGTTCTGAATTAGGTAATAATGAAAATTTATATCTGCCAAGTCACACCACAATTTAGTATCCTAGTATGGGCTAGCCAGATGAGATTTGATTCACCAGGGTTGAAGACATCTATCAAATCTAAATGCTTTTTCTTTCTTATTCGTCTTCCCCTCTCTCTCTCTATCTCTCCCTCCCTCTCTCTTTCTCTCTCTCTGAGGTGGCCAGAGCACCTTTCTTCTATGAAAGCAGTAACTTGTCCTTGGAAAAACTTTTTTAATATGACATGCCTCGAGCAGTCTTTTTGCAATCAACAAAGTTCTTAAACTGCCGCAAAATCACCCAATTCAGCTCTTATATTAGTTATCTGAGTGGTCTTCTGACCAGTTCAGCCTTTTATGTAATCAGTGTTGGCAACAAGGCTATATTTTGAGAAAGCATTCGTCTTTTTGCTATGTTTGAGTGATCATCTTAGGAAATATGTAGTATCGAACAATAATATACTAAGTAACTACATGGTGCAATGAGAATGATTTCTGTGATAATCAAAATTCGGGCAAAAATGTAAGAATGCATAATTGTTTTACCATTTTCTTTTTACAAAAGTCCACCCAAATTCAATTTGTTTGTTTGAGTATTGACCAACCAGAACAATGGAAAGTTATATGCTTCAGCCCAGTTTTGCACAGCCTAGCTTTACCGCATTCTTCAAAAATCAGCCTATTAAGTCTCTTCTTTCTCAAAGTATCTCTCATTTCTTTATCTTCATCTCAACATATTTGAACGTGGCTTTAGCTCAACTATTCATGAAAACCATAAGGACTTGGACTACAGACTTTTTTCGGGAAGCATAAGTTTTGTTCGCCATGCAAATGTTTGTAGGGAGATGGTGTCTGTCTGCTAGACTGTATTGATGATTTGTGCTTATGTCTCGATTCTTGATGCCAAATGTGAGACCATAGTAGCCTCAGATTTTACATTCCTGAGTAATTGCCACAAGGGTTTATCCTTTGTTATAGTTGGTGCTTTCATTAACTTCTTTTGGTTTTGAGCAAAAATGTGGGGGCTCTGCAAAATCCTTTTTTTTTTTTTTCAGGAACTTACCTGTAACCAGTTGCTTCACGGACTTGCTCGACGAAAAAATGTTCGTGTACACCTTCTTAATTTGGTAAGGTATTAGCTGTTTATGCTTCAAGATTCTCTCTCTCTGACACAAAACAGCACATGCATGCACCTACATGCAGATTGGGTGTCTGCATTTGTTTGTGCATATCTGTGTTGCTTTGTTCAGTGCAGCATCTTTTTATGTTCCTTGCTTTCCTTTGTTTTCTGGACCAGGAAAGGATTCAGAAGGGTCGGAGGTAGGGTGTGAAAACAAGAAATTTACCATTTCAACGGAACCTAGCCCCTTGACACCAGCAAATTTTTTGTCCCTTTCATCTTTGGTTTCTTTATCTATGGGGGACAGCACATTAGTTAGATCATTGAAGAGGGGGACTTTTTCTAGGTGTTCAAGTATAAACAAGTTTTCTACTATGTTTTCATAAGAATTTTCCTGTAGAACTTTTCTATTTAAATCATGAAGTGTTGCAATAATCAAGATGTGATTATAAAATCTACACTGTATAAATAACGAACATAATATTGCTGATATATTAGTTAAGACTATATATAATTTCAACAGAGAAAGAATGATATATAACCTTGTAAGGCAGGAGCCAGTTAAGGAAAAGGAGAAGATAAGTGCTGCTAGGCATCAGAAGCAATAAGGGCCTGACTTACCCCAAGAGTAGGAGAGGGAGAGTGAGAGGGGGGAGAGAGAGCGTGTGTGTGTATCTGTGTGTGAATCCTTAATGCAAGTACAAAAAATAAGTCTCTGCCCTTTTTAGCCTCGTATTTGCTTCTCCAGATTGGTTATTTGCTTGAATAATTAGCTCAGGAGTTCCTCTAGTAATTAGCACAGAAGCATGATTATGCGAACAGAAAGTTTTCCTGGTAGTCGTAAATCACTAAAAGCTTATTTGCTTAGTCATCCCTTGTAAATGTTTTACAAGATTATGTACTTAGGAATTCTCATCAATGAGTGTCTGTTTATTTACTCTACAGGATTCCTGGCGCAATTTAGCAAATGCTTTTACTAATGAGAGAATTCTGTTATCGCTGAATCCTGTTCATCAGGTAATAAACTCTGGAAAAATGGTACATTTCCTGATTTATTCTACAAAAGCATGTCAAATGGAAGTGGGAGGGGAAGTTAATATCTCCCTTTGTTGCTTGTTAGCAGAAAATGGAAAGAAGCCAAGAAAATTGATTTACTTTCCATATTTTGACATATTTGCATGAGGATCTATTAAATAGCAAGCTGATACTGAAAACTATATTTTCCTTTCCCTGTATGCTCTATAGTTTTATTCACCTTGTAAATTGTCATGCAAAAGTTTCATTTTCCCAATTATTTCTTTCCCAAGAAATGACCACTTCCCCTTAACCAACCCAGATGCTTCATTTTTTATTTCAGCGTTCACTGGCTCAAACCCTTGCTCTCTCAGCATCTGGAATGAGAAATTCTGAGGAGTCAAACCAGTGAGTTTCTATACATATATGCATACTTTTTTTGAGGTTTTCCATTCAACTTCATTCTTAAATCACAATTTTTAACAGATTTATAAGAAATGTAGCAAGCCACATGACAACTTATCTACTGCAACTCTCAGTAAAAGATGATCTGAAAAAGGTTGCCCAACAGCCAGATATTATTTTGCTGGTATGAACAACTCCTCTTCTTTTGCTATTCATACTCTTGAAAAAGCTTTTGATGGTTGTTTGACATCCCACAGGTGAGTTGTTTGTTGGAGCGGCTTCGTGGGGTTGCCAGTGCTTCCGAACCTCGTATTCAGAAGGCCATTTATGAGATGGGTTTCTCTGTGCTGAACCCAATCTTGATTTTTCTTGATATTTACAAACATGAGGTACTAATTTTTTCAGTTCATGCACCATGCTGAATTTCAAATGACAAGCCTTTTTTTGTGAAAGTTGCGTTATCCCATTTTTACAGGGAAGGCTATAGGTTTGTTAGTGGTAGACAGTCTTCCTTCTTGGAGATGTTAGATTGTGTACATTGATAACTTTCCCAATTATGCAAGTGGTGAAAGCCTCCTGCATTGCATTTGCCCATTGTTTTCATTCTAATAAATATTTACTCTGGAGATCATTGTGCAATTGGCGATCTTTCAGGTAATAATTATAGAAAGGGGTTTGACTACTGAAAAATAAGGATGCAAAGCCACTGGTAAACTTAGAGATAATAAAGATAGAAGATGTTAAGGTTCCAAACTCAAATTATTGGTTTTTTATGGGCTTTTGACGATTGAAACTAAAGCTTATTAGACTCATGGTTGCTTTTTGTTTGCAGAGGTTAGTTTGCTGAAATAATTCAATGAAGTGTCAGTTTTCCTTTCTCTACCTTTTCTTCAGCTGATTATTTGAAAGTAATTGACAAAAACAGATGCTTTTGTTATTGTGATTCTGAAATCCCTATAGCTTTTTCATAAAACACTTCAGGATCAGCTATTTGCAGTTTATAAAAAGCTGAAATAGAAGTCTGAAAGGCAACAACAGCACCTTACAGCTTTTAGCTCAAGCCATAATTTGCTAATCTTAAGCAACCAAGAAGAGGCTCTGTAATATGCAAATTGATTCCCTGGTCTTTTTTTGACTGCTTTGCATAACTTAAAAAGTATTTAACTTTTTAGTTAGGTTTCAGCCTAGGGTGACTGAAATTACAATTGCTGATTCTTTTTTCTTAGTCTGTAGTTGTCTATCTTCTACTCAAATTTGTTGTGGATTGGGTGGATGGCCAAATTATCTACCTAGAGGCACATGAAACTGCAACTGTTATTGATTTCTCTATGCGCTTGCTCCAGAGTTATTCTTCTCACAATATTGGCAAGGTACTTACGATCACCATTTTTTCTTACATGAAAGCTGATCTTGAGGCATTAATAAATTAAAGATGAAATTTCTGCGTTTTAGTGCTGGAGTTTGGAATGTGAACTCTTGAACAGTTAAAAACAAATATGCAGATGGGAAACAAATAAAGTATTTGAGAGGATGGTTTCTGCTTGAAAGTTCAAAATGAAATGTCAATGCTGCAAGTTGGTTTTTTTTTTTTGTGTGTGCGTGGTTGGGGTGGGTTGTTGGGTTTTGGGGGTCGGGGGCAGCAGAATGGCCATTGTTTGAATATGATACGGAACCTATCCAAACTAGCGTATAAGTATGCCAAATATCTGTAGTGCAGATGGTTGAACACGTTCTCTCTCTCTCTCTCTTTTTTTTTAATCATTTAACTCCGGCATGACATTCTAAGCATGAATATCAACCACGTGCATTTGTTATCAAAGCTGGAAATTAAGCACTTAAAAAGTTATGAAGGCATTTTATCCCTGATAAAATAGTCAGCAACATAAGCTGGCCAGTGAGTTTGCCTCTTAGCTCTCGTTGGAGTAATTTGATGTGAGAAAAAGTCTGATATAATTTCTTAGAGATTTTTTAAACTTAGGTTCTTTCGCTCTGCTTAGAGTTGTCTGATCAGATTGGAACTTGCCTCTCTTCTCTTCTTCTATATTGATCTGTTATTTACTCTTCAGATTTCAGTTAGTGTTTCAAGCAGCTTAAGGAGTGAAGAAGATACTGAGAAATACAAGGATTTGCGAGCCCTTCTACAACTACTAGCAAGTCTTTGTACTAAGGACATGGTAGCTGCTCCTTTTTTTGATTCTTTTTTTTTTAACTTATTTTTTAATATAGCAATCAGCTATTCTAACATTTGAGAATCTCTCTTTTTTGTTTCACTCAAAACTATTGGAATTTTTTGAACATCTCATATCACTTCTGGATGTCTTATATCATAAGAAACAATTGTCCATAAACATGTCTTTGCAGGTTGATTTCTCATCAGAACCCGTCGAGTCTCATGGTACAAGCATTTCTAAGGTACAGATATGTGTCCCTTGTTCTACCTGGAAAAGCTTGTTTTTGTTTTGTCTCGAGAAAGATTTTGGTTATACAGTTATGTTTTGGTTGTACTGTTCTGTGAACATACTTCTTTTACAGGTAGTCTATATGGGTCTTCACATAGTTACCCCTCTGATTACCCTGGAACTGTTGAAATATCCCAAGCTTTGTCATGATGTAAGCCCTCTTTGTCATTTAAGAAGTAATATAGTCTAATAGTTGGGTAATTAACACAACATTTCTGTTTGGGCAGTATTTCTCTCTTCTGTCACACTTGTTGGAGGTTTATCCTGAAATGGTCATGCAATTGAACAATGAAGCCTTTATACATATTGTTGGAACTCTTGATTTTGGTCTTCATCATCAGGTGAATTTATTGTTACTATAGATTCTACTCTTAAATTTACTGCAAACTGTGTCACAACAGCTTGCCCAACCAAGGTCTACGTGAAGTTTTACTAGACTTACACTGAAAGATCAAGCTTATGGAACTTGGATTTTTAAAATTTGGTCATTCTCTTTGCTCTTTTTCTTGATTTTTTCACAATGTTACTCAGTTTTTTTGACATCTTGATGTACATAGGACTCAGAAGTAGTTGATTTGTGTCTAAGAGCTCTGAAGGCACTTTCATCCTATCATTACAAGGAAACTGGAGCTGGTAAATCTGGGTTAGGCTCATATGCATCAGGTTATGAGGACCTTGCTGGAAATAGTCAAGAAGGAATTCTTGGACGGTTCCTCCACTCATTGCTGCAATTTCTCGTTTTTGGGGATTACAGGTAAGCTGTAAGAAAAACTTTTGACCCAGTTAAAAGTTTGGCTGAACATCATGGACAACAACTATTATAGCAAAAGAAATTACATATCTATTTTTTGAGTATGCTGCTCCCAATCCCTTACAGTTAATGTTGAATTTGAACATGTGATCTTAATTACCTTTCCTCTCCAGCAACGATCTTGTCAGTGCTGCTGCAGATGCTCTTCTGCCGCTGATCCTGTGTGAACAAAGTATCTACCAGGTATCACACAGAACCTTTAAAATCATGCTATGGCATATAATATCATTTTTTGGGAAGGCATGATATCTTAACAATGCAAACTAAACTCCTGGGTTTCCAATCATTCTGAGGTTTCAAAAGGGCTGAATAGTTTTAGCTTTAGTTGCTTTATCTAGAAGCAAATAGGGTTTCCTAGTGCCCTGACCTCCCCTCTAATGCCATGGTTTAGAAACCTTATGAGTGGTGTGGCTTGCTTTCAAGAAGTTAATTGAATTCTTGGTAATGCATCCCACATCCCCATAAAATTTTTTGTTGTCTTTCATTTTTACCTAATTTTGTTCTTGGCACAATCAATGCACGACCTACTTATAGTGGTTTTATGATCAAATTGTTCGACTTACGACCTAATATAGTGTATGAAGCATTAAAGTTTATGCTGCTCTGGCACCATAATGTGAGACTTTTCGACAAAGAGAATGTTGTCTTGGGAGAGTTCTAAATGTATATCTAATTTTCTCGATTTTTGCTGTTCAATGCGATCAAATATCTGAATTATTTTTCTCCCAACTTTATGAGTGGAGAAGCCTCCTTTGGGTGTTGATGTTACATCGCTGAAAATCTCTTTTAACTGATTTTGGAGATCGACACCTGATGGAAATGATATGCACATGTCTATGAGTCTGAATATTATAATGTGCCATGCATTTGTATCAGTAGTTTTTCTACCTAATGGAACGAATACTAAATATGCAGTACATGCTTTGCTCTTAAATACTTTTCTAATTATTATTTTTTTCCCTCTTCAGAATTGGAATTTTTATTTTATTTTACTTTTTTTTTTTTTTTTGGACAACGTTCTTCAAACATGGATGGATTTTCAATTTTGCAGAGATTGGCTAACGAGTTAATTGAAAGTCAGGGGAACCCCGCATTTAGGTCAAGGTTGGCAAATGCTTTTCAATTCCTTACAAGCGCGAACAACCTGTCGTCCACACTTGACCGCAGAAATTACCAAAAGTTCAGAAAAAATCTACAGAGTTTTCTGGTGGAAGTTCGTGGATTTCTTCGTACTATTTGATACATGCAATTCATCTGTTCAATAACTGCCCCGGGTGCTCGCCCGTGTGTTTTCGCTTTTCCAAGCATTTACAGTGCTGTTTTTGCTGTGGGTTAATTAGGTGCATCTATGTCACGTGGTGTACAGTTTTACCCTTGGTTGGGGAAATTTTGGAGAGAACATGTTTGTACATTTAGATACAGCTTGGATAAAATGTTTTGACCTATATCTTTTACCCTTTTTAGGGTGAAAAAGTACAACCATTAGTTAATGTGAAAACAATTATGCCAAAAAGTGGTTTGCCGTATAAACAAGTATGTGATGTTCTCAACACGAAAGGGCAATTTTTGCAAAGTAACGTCTCGTAATGAGTTACCGTGCAACTCCCCTGGCAATTTATCTTAGTTATTGAGTAAGATCTACTTCGTGCTCTTGCATTTTTTTTTTATTTCAAAATGTCTTTTGCTTGCTTGTTTTCTGATTTGAAACTAATGATTGTGACTGGTGTTTAATTATATGATACACTTGCTTTTTATACATATTCGTTGTTATTACAGTATACTTTCTATTCTTTGTAGGATGGAATTCATTCCATCGCAGGGTGTCCCTAAGGGCATCCACAATGGTTTACAAGTGTAATTTACATGACACGTCAGTATTTCACTTTCTCCTCTTTTATTACACTTCCACTCACAATGGATTAACACTCCACAAGGTGTAATAGCATGGGTCCACAATTAAATCAAATATTTATTTTAACAATGCATAACTCATAACCCATAAATAAATAAAGTAATTTTTAAAAATAATTTTCTTATTTTTAAAAAATAAAGTATTAACTTTTATTAAGAATTTTTTATTTTCTAAAAATAGTATTATTAATTTCTAAGTTTGAACAATATATCTTTTTCTATCTCTCAAAAATAAAATATCATAATAATCCATACTTAATAATTCTTTATGTAATTAGTTGAAATCCATAACATAATATTACATAATTTAAATCAAATAAAATACAAATAATAACAAAATGAACGTTGCAAATTTAGTGCACCGTTGCAAAAAATGAACGTTGAAACCTTCAAGTTTGCTGGGCAAAATTTTGTCATACTGCCAAATTTTATAATGAGTGGTCCACCCATTACACGCATCATGATGCGTGTAATAGGGTATAACACGGTCACAATGGATGGCCGTGTAATGAATCCATATTTTATTAGACATTGCACTCCTTATTATCCTCCGTTGGAGATGCTCTAATGTGATCCAGTCCATGTCATAAATGATGTCGGAGTTGCCCTAAAGTCGACTTTTCCATTTTTGCTGATTTGATCATTTTCTCTTTTATGCGGAATGCATTGTTTATCAGACCCTGAAGCGAGTTACAATCACCACAACTTCCAACGTTTATGAGACACACCGTTGCACGGGTGGATGAAACTGGTGTGGATGGACATTTTGAGTTTGACCATGTGGAGGTTGCCGAGCCAACTGGCTGGACTTTTTTATATTTTTTTGATGTAACGGTACATTTAACCTAATTTAATTTACTCTTACTCCTACACAGGGGAGTCTTAGAGTAAAGGGTGACCCAACTTTGAAGGGAAAGAATTTCATTTGGATATCAACAACTGGGCTGACACGTTAACATACTACAGAGAGTGTTTTGGTAAGACCAATCAACCAGCTGTTACTCAACCTGGGCCACATGTTTTGGCTAATGGACAACTGGATCAGTATGCACATGGATTACACGGTGTAGATGTTCCAGCCAATGGACATCTGCATTGCATGCATGGTGAATTGGGTACCGGGCTTCTTGGTGCATTTGCTTACGGACTACCCAATGATCCAATTGGCCCATTAGGTGCGAACGATGATTGTCACCTGCCCGACCCCTTGAAGAACTAGAAAATTATGGGCAATCTTTACCTAATTAAATTCTCCTCTCAACCTGGGTCCAATTGGCCCATTAGCTGCAATCGATAATGGCTACAACACTACCTAACCAAATCTAGATTCTCTAACCCTCACCAGAATGTAGCGTAAAAGACAGAGGAGGTCTACATTTTACGTCTACGTAGCCAAGCAGTATTCAGAGTCCCAATTTGGAAATTGTTACCATCAGATTTCACACACTTTCGAACCAAATTTGCACGACCATCTATTCCGGGACCAAACAACCGAGCGCTTGACATATGATGTAATTTTGAAGTTTGAAGGAAACACGTCGCGAACGAAAATGTGCTCTGTCTAACGTTAAAACTTCTTTAGAATAGCAGTAAAACAAATCTCTCCGCTATTTCTGAAGATAACCACGAAATTTTACTCAAGATACAAATTTATGTGCAAATCCAGCAGTCAGTCATTGGTCACGGACAAAAGTTATCAAGTCCTTAAAAGGGATGCAAGCCTAAACATGTTTCTATTGTTCTCCCCATCCAAGAACACACAATAGCTAGGAGAACCGACAGCAGCCCTATCTTTGCTATTCTAGACAGAGAACACAAACAAACAAAAAAAGGCAATTCATCAGCAGACATCGACATTATAGACTGATAAAAACACATCTCAAATTTGAGATAACCTTTTTCCCCTTTGTCACCCTCTTTCACAGAGAGGAGAAGAGAAGAGGGGGAGGGGGAGGGGGAGGGGGAGGAGGGAGGAACAGGTAACCACTACCACCACGTGTGCTCACTTGTGCATCACAAACTTCTTCGCCAACTTGGGTTTCTTTTGAGGATGGCTCTGCCAAAACAGTGAAGAACAAAAGCCATTAAGTGTCAGTGGCTGGAAAGAGTTGCATAAAGCACAAATAAAGGGATTACCTTCTGCTTTTCTAAAGCTGCAAAGTTTGTTCTCTCAGTCCACTTGCTCTTGCGGAGTTTGATTGGCCGATTTCCAACATATTTACCTGAACGCAGTTGTCAAAAACGTATTATTGAAACAGTCCCACATTTGAAATGACATTTCTAATTCATTGCAACATTTACACCCCACATCTAAACAGACAACACACTCCAATTAGAAACTAGAAAAGCCATATCTACAACAAAAGTTGCCTAAAAGGAAAAAATATCCTCTTAATGGAAGTCTATTCAGTCCTCCGCCTTTCAGCAATGGGTGTCTAAGCAATTTCTTTCTTCCTTCAGTAGTTACCAGCCATTCTTTTCTATTAGTCTAGGCATGGCATGATTCATTAGTTGGCAATGAGGAAGGAAATCAACTGCCTTCATAAGGGAATAAGTTTCTTATCAACGATAAGTACTACCCAAACAAGAAAACGTTCTTACCATTTTTAAGATGAAAAGCCTTCCCTCACAGCTACATAATTTAACAATAAATTGAAGTGACATGAAACATGGCAAACAAGCAAAACCAAAAAAGAAGATAATCAGAGACTCATTAGTCATTACTCACCATTCATTTCTTTAAGCGCTGCAGCAAGGTCTGAAGGGTTTGAAAAACTTACAAATCCATAACCTTTGGTTTTGCCAGTCCGCTTATCTCTTACAACCTGAACAGATTAATTTTGAGGAGGACCAGTCAACACTTAAAGGCATCCTAGCAAATCAGCATACAACAGATGCCTAGACAGATAAAATAAAGATGATCATTCAGGCAAAAATGCAGCTTCCGAAGGGATAGTACAAGCAGCTGGAATTACCAATCTACAGTATGATACAATTTAAAGTTTGAAATGCAACTCCAATAAACTGCAGACTGCGCCCCCTCCCCAGCCACCTTTTGCCTTAATTCAACCTTAAATATCAAAGAGAAAGTTACCAAAAAAAACCAACACTACCACTATTATTAGTACATCTGACATCACTTCTCTGTGTAGCAATCTTGACAACAAAACACAACCCTCAAAACAAAAGCTCATATCTTTACAATCCACAAAGAATTCAGGGACTCATCTGGTCTCAATCCTTGCAAACTGCAAATATCATGAAATCTCAGACCAAAAAGAGTTCTACCTTAATGAATACGAGACATTCGAGGGCTCCATGCACTTCAAAATAATATCTGAAGAGGACATGCAAAGTGCTCATGTATATGATCCGAATAAATAATGTTAGATGTAAGAGAGCCGAAGTATCCTTAGATAACTCACCCTGGCCATGTTAAAAGATGGAAATCTTGAAAATGCTTTGGATAGAACATCATCATTCACCTCATTACCAAGATCACCACAGAACAAACGAGAATCATCTGCACAACACAAACATTAATACTGAAGGTATTAATACTAGCAAAAACAAGATCAGTGAAGGAATTAAGACAGGCGAAAATTGTCATAAAAAATGACGAATGCAACCACATAAGGAGTAGAGTACATGAAACTCACTCTCTGGCCAATCTGCAAGTGTAGGATCCTCCCATGCCTGCCCTGCTGCCTTACGAGGTACTGCTTTCTTCTTAGTCTCGGCCTTGTGCTCAATCTCACTACTTGCAAGCGCAGCTTTCACACTCTCTAGCGCTTCAGGTGTTATTGTTTGTGCATCCCTTTGAAATAATTGCTGGGCCTGTCCACCAAAACTTCAGATATTAAGAACTGACTGGTTTAACTTTAAATATTGCCATCATTCCTCTTCTTCAAACTATACTTATACCTAAATTAAGATGCAAATATAACCCACAAAAAAAAAGAACTCTTGCCCACACATACAAAACCCCTGGGTCACCAAACTTCCACAATAATATCAGGTACCACGCGCCAACTTTCCCCAATATTTTATTTGGCCCACCTTTGCACCCTAAAATTTGTGAAATCCCCTTCACCTTCTACATTGCCCCACCTAAAAACTAAATCATCCACCACTATCATATCAACTTAAGTACATAATCACACCTCAACAATAAAGAACGTCAAAAATTTTAGAAGAAAAACATTAACCTAAAGTTCTTCTAATGTCTAAATTCAACTTCCTCAATCAATTTAGGAAGTTCTTCCTAAATGAATTAAGCCATATATATAAATGAACAGACCGGGTATTTTACCGAAAAATTGGACTTCCTGGTTCCTCCACTCACATAGACAACAATGGTATACATATCTCGACTCCTACCAATAATTAAAAAGGTCAATTGTTTCTCATCATAGCTGCAGACAAGGGAATTCAAATGTCAGGGGAAAAGGAAAAAGAGCCGAAATCACTCGTGCCCTAAAACTCTCCAAAAATATTCCATCCAAAATTCATATAAAAAACAACGTGGTTTAATGATTGGATATAGAAAAGTTCGCACCTGTTGATACTGAGGGAGGGAGTACACGGTAGCGGGAGCAGGATAAACGTGGGGAACCGCAGGAGGAGGAGCAGGAAATTGCGGAATTGAAGCGGCAGCGGCAGCAGCCACATAGGTTTGCGGCTGTTGTAGGTGAAACGGAGTCGGAAAGTACGTGCCGGTAGTGTAGGTGAATTGAGACGACGCCGCTGAGGATGAAGAAGAAGCTGCAGCAGCCGATGTCGACGACATAGCGAAACCGGAAGTTCCCACCTGACGACGGCGTTTTAATGTAGTAGTGTAATACGTGATAATGAAAAGCTCCCGCGAGATTTGAGAAGCGGGATCAAAAGTTAGGGCTTCGTTGTTTTTCAGCGCTAATTCGACTTAATATTTTCACGAGGAGGTCTGGAAAATTGGGAAACAAGTCAAGGGGAGAGAGTCGATGGAACAGAGAAGTCTAGAGACTACTGTTGTATTCTAGTGATTGGAAAGATGAATCCGATTCCTTATAAAAAAGATTAATTGCAATTTGCCTCCCGAACTATCATTTGTTTTGCAGTTTGTATGATTGTAAACTGTTAATTATAGCACTTTATATTACTCTTTTATATATATATATATATATATATACACTTTTTTTTTTTTTTTGTCGATGGTCACCATCTTCCCACTCCTACTCTAGTCCATTTTAGGGCTCTAGTCTATTTTAGGGAAAAGTTCAATAAAAAACCGACGAGAACTGAATCAATGTCAATACTCACTTTCATTCTAATCTATTTTAACAGGTAAGTTCAACTGAGTCCAATAGAGAATTGACGGGACTGAACCATTATCAGTACACGCCCATATGAATTTAATAAAGCAATATATAATGACAAAGTGATAGGAAGTAAGGTTTGAATCGTTCACACTCCACCTCACCAAGATTTTAAATCATTTATGGTAATCAACAACCCAAATGGCTGCTGGTATTACCTTATACTATAAACATGTAACAAATTTCCTAACTAGTTGGATACCAACCAATCATGACAAATATCTTTTCAACCAAAAGACTTCAATTGTCCTCTACTAAGTCAAGTTTCTTTACATTTAAATACATAGACCAACAAAATTTAATAGTATTTAACTTAATTGACGGATATACAATATATTAATAATAAAATATAAGTATTAAAAAATACTAAAATTGATCATTTGAAAGGTATAGTGCAGGGTTGCATATTGCAATCAACTCAAAATAACGTTTTTTGCAACCATAAAATGCAAAAAATATGTGTTGTAACTTCTAAAGGCCTGTTGGTTCATCAGATTATGTGGGAGTTTGCGGAATTGATTCATTGTATCCGGGGAGTATCATTTATTATTGAGTTTTCCTATTTTGTCCCGTGAGGACATAAGATAAACACAAAAAAAAAATAAAAAAGAAGGTGAGCTTATTATAAAATTCAAATATTATCATCCGCCCCGATAGTGATTAAACTTTAACATTCAAAATTTTGCAAATAACTAAACCCCACTAACTCATATCCGGACACGAAATAAAAGAATTCGCTGGATCCTGAATATAGATTATTGTCCAAAACATCAATTTTGATGTCAAATATTTTAATAATTCCAATGTCATTAGTAAACAGGCGATGATAAACAAATGTTTTTGGTATTTTGTTGATATACGAGGTAGAACAATCTGTCATTAATAAATATCAATAAATGACTAAAGATATTGAGAAAATTTAATATTAGAACATTTTAACCATTTATGAAATTCATTTTTAAATCTCATTTAAATAAAATGTCACGCAAGCCCTAACTGACAACAAATAGGTGATTGAAGAGTATTATTACATAATTTTGTTACATTTTAAAAAAAAAATTCTAATAGAAAAAGGATGAGATTTAAGAAACGGAAAGGAGAAAAAGGGATTTGAACCATCTTGAAACCTCAACTTTAGTTACTAAACACATAATTTTATTATTTGACATATCTTATTTGAAAAAAAAAAACATATCTTATCTGAAAAGCAAGGCATAAAGAACATACATGGGAAGGTAACATAAGATTCTTATAATTTTTAAAGGGTTAAATTTAAAAAGCCCCTTTGGAAGATACCTTTTTTTTCTCAACTTTGCCTCTTCCAATGTTCATTTGCACCAATTCCATTCTTGTGATATTACATCTTTCTCAATTAAGTCCAATTAGCATAGGAAATCGGGTCCTATTTGGCACTTAAGTTTTTTGCCAAGTTTGTCTGCTACAAGTTTTTTAAAAACTTTAGCTACAGTAACCTCAAAAAACTTCTTAAAGTTTTTAAACTATACACTTCAAAATATTCAAAAATTTACACACTTTAAAATTTTTTAAAAAAACTTATACAGTAAGTTACAGTAAAGTTTTAGACAAATACCTAAAAAACACACTTGTCAAACGGGGCCCTAATTTTTGTTTAAACGGGCCATGTGCCTTGCATGCGCTATTTGTAAATGGATGAAATTGCCCCAAAACAAACTCAAATTTTTAGGTACCTCGAAACATATATGTATGATCAAATAGGAAATAAGAAAACTTTTTTGAAAATGACATATTTTATATCCTCAATCTCTCTTTTTTCCAATAAAATAGCTACTAATGGATATTTTCAAAGAGGACCTACATACAAATCCAGCAACAAATGACTCAATCGAGAAACTATCCCTTGGTTTTTTATTTTTTTAACCAAAAAAAAAGTCACTAAGAAATCTTATGGGGTAATTTGGAATAAACATGACATTATGTGCATTAGAGACAAGCATAATCATTAAAAATTGGGATTTTCTGTGTAAACTGGACTCGATTGGGGAACAATGTAACAGCACAATGAGAAAATTGAGGTTATTGAGAGTCCAAGGAGTAAAGTAATAAAAATACATTTTTCAATGCGGTATTTTTAAACTAAGCCATTTGTAGTAAAGTACTTAATATGTGTATGAGATGGCAACTTACGGTTTAAGCGATATCATACTTAGAAAAAAAAAAAAACCAATAAGCTGAGCAATTAATCCTAACGTTTCTATCTCCCTAGCCCCTATTTTCAACATTTATTACTTCATCGCGAATGTTGAGAATTACGGTGCTTGTTTAATCGTGTTAATCAGTTGGAAAGACTCAATAATAGGCTGCATGATTTTAGACCACGCAGTAGCCAAGACCCTGCGTAAATAGAGTAAAATATACACAAGTACACAATTAATGATCTTACTTCTAACACGTAGTATGAAAAACTAATTTCCAGAAATTGGTTCTTATATCAAGGGGGACATTTTTGATGCTTGAGAATATCAGTTTTGTCCTTTCTCTCATTTGGTCTCTTCGCTATGATATAAACATATCAATAATGTTTTATACGCTTATTGTCACAATATTGATATAAACGTACAACTATTTCATAGACATCATACTATGAGCATAGAAACACTACGAGAAAGTTATATTTTGATTCAAAAAAATGTAGCAGTACTTTATTATTTGCCTAAAGAAATAAGTGAATGTACAATATTGGACCAATATTTGGTGTCTTTAATCCTTTCTGAAGAGTGAGATCCAAGGCTTAGCTCTCTCGATAACGTTTCACCCAAAGAAGTAAAAAAAAAAAACTCTAAATTAACGAACGATTTGTCTAACGAGTGCCCTATTTGTTAAGACATACTTCAGGTGTTATGTTTTTGAAAATATAAGATTAATTAAGAAAAATAAATAAATATGAATGAGAGTATGTAAGATTAAATAAGAAAAATATATAAATGCAAGAGAGAATAATAATCGTTAGTATGTCTATATATATATATATATATTGTAGATTAGGTGAATATCAAGCATGTTAATGTTCAGGACACTTGCTAGAAAAACACGTTAACAAGAATGTTGTTTTCAACATAGAAGGTACATACATGTATAGGGTGGTGAATGAAAAATCCTGATTGATTAATTACATTCATTCATTGATTGGAGCTATGTGTCATGCATATAATGATGGCGTTTTTTTAAAAGGTGCCCGTGCATACAAATAATACTTAATTTATTGCATGAATCTATACACTCGTATTTATTACAATCTTGTATTTGGACACTCTTTTCATATTAATAAAATTGTTATAGCAAAATCTACACATGAAGTTTTTCATAATGATTACCCATGAAGTGCTTGTTACCTGTTAACCAAACGATATCATGATTCATCACATGATTTTTTCTTTTTTTTTTGGGGGTGTTCTAAACAGCATACTACTATATGAATCATCTTATGCGAACTTAAATACTGTTTAAGGTTATTTTATTGGCAAAAGATACACTGAGTGCAATTTAACAAGGATAATTGAACATTACTTTCTCTAAACAATAACGTGTAACTTCCGGTGAAATGAAAAGTTTTTTGAAATTACATATTGCTGACGTTTAACTATTCCATACTAAAAAAAAAGGGCATTTTCACTCTGTTTCTCTTTCAATTTATGATTATTATGAATTAGCTAATATGATAACCAGGCAGATTTATTCTCTTAATCACTTCCTCTCAAAACACTACTATAATTTATATACAAGCTATTATAATTTTCTAATGAGAGTTTGAATGCGCACTTTCATAGTTATTATTGTCTCCTTGGCTTTCTCGATTTAGTAGGTTCTGTTTTCTAAAAGATTCGCATTTACAGGTCATCTTTGGCATTGTTCGTTTCAAAATTGGTACACTTTTAATAGGTGATTGATAAAAATCTTCTCTATATAGCTTTATTCTAAATATTTCTAACCCCAGAAAAGGATATTCTCGCTCTATCTCTCTAAATTATTATGAATGAGCTAATATAATGGTCCAACATCCTTATCATCTGCATCACTTTCTCTATATCCACCACAATGTATCCTTTTCAAACCAGCCCCCAATTTTTAACTATTCCTTAGATCTATGCCCAATAAAACCGACACATTTGTCATCGTCAGAAGACGTAACTAAAAATGCGACGGATGGTTTGTCTCACCCTCCGTTTCACATTCTGTCATATTTTTTTTTTATTACTTTCATATTTTCTTTCTTAAATATCATATTTTAACTTTTTTTGTTTACTTAAGTTCCCATAACTATAACTGAGTAATTTAATACACAAAATTTAACGAACTCAAACAATCAAAATATATGAAAAAATGAGATTTTTAATGAATTTCCTATTGAATTTTGTGATTTTTTATTAGGTATTACCTTTTTGAAATTGTTATATTTATTTTTCAACATGTTAGTAGTTATTTGATAGAAAAAATAAAAAATATGATATTTATGAAGAAAAAAAGTGGCATAAGATCAGTTGCGACCTAAAAGGATTGTCTAATCAATGTCCAGTGAGCATCAATTAAGATATTTTTACCTATTGTTCACTGAACGCGTATTTATTGATCTAAAGAAAAAGGAAAAACCATTAATATGGGATGGATAAAATCTTTTTTTATAAAAGGCTTATGTAGAATATCATAAATGTTTTAGCTGATTTTATTCGTATTTTTCTTTCTGAGCACTTGCTCAACCGTCGTGATTTCTACTAAAAGATCACGCACTCGCTATGAATACCATCATATTTTCTCATGGTGTCAATTTCTCACTTTCCCAAAGTACAACAATTCATTTCACGGATATATGTTTGGCACTTTATCCCTGCCCCCACAATTGGTTAAATATCTTTGGCTGAAATATGTTTAGTTCACAAAATAATAATGAAATATGTACCTTTAGATTAAGGACGGGTCGGGGTCGGGCCTTCATTCCAATTTCCACCCCCACCCCTTGGCCTATTTGGCATCGGAATCGCAGCCGCTATTATAACTCACTCGCGCGTCCGCTCCCCATTGCGAATCTCAGAGCCAGAGACTCCCCATTCATCAATAAGAAAAACTGGTAAGTACGAACAATTCAAAGTCTCATTTAAGTTCAATTAAATTTAAACCCCCATAAAAATAGATTATTTTTACCCATAAATAATGCACCATTATTCAATAACCTCCCGTGATTAAAAATTAATGTAGTACTACTAATCTAATGCCTTCCTTGTTAGGTTAGGTCTCTATTGTCATTGGACCACTTCATAAACCCATACCCACTCCACCGAGAAAAAGAAAAACAAATGCCATAACAATTTTTAATAAATATAGAGAGAGAAAATAGATTGTTACAAAGGGCAAAAGAAAAAAAAAAGGTTTTTATCGTGACAAAATTGGTCACGCGGTGCTTAATAAAAAAGAAGAAGAAGAAGGTTTAGGCAAAACTTATGGGTGCCCACGGTTTCTGTTGTTGCTGGTTGCTTGTTTTTGTAGACGTAGAGAGTTAGTTTTGTTCAATTCATTTAATTTTACGACTGACAATTGGAATTTCGAAACCAATTTTCAAATCTTGTGCAGACAAATCCAATTTTTTTTATTCTTTTGGACTCATCAACCCTTATCCAAACTTGACGTAATTTTACATTGCCCCAGCCAATCTTGAATATAAAAACTGGGCTTTTTAATTTTCATTCTGGGATAAAATTTTAGTGCCATGTTACTTTTCTTAGCCCAACATTAGGGGTTTCTAATTACTGTACTGTGGATAAATCCGAAGTTGAAGGTGATATGGTGGTCAAAGCAAATAGTAAATACAAAAGTTAATTGGTGGGTACCCTCTCAGGAAGTAAGGTTAGGGTTATATCTACGCTAGGGTTAGATCTGTTCAATCTGATTCTGAATTTTTAGTTGTCTAATTCTAAAATTTATGAGGTTTAGATTTATGAGTATTTATATGCAAAGATTTTCTTATGTGGGTTGCTGATTAATATTTCTATTTTATGGGAAACTGATTTCTTGTGCAATATTTGGGTGTAGTTTGGAGTCTGAGCAGCTCTAGGTCAACGGAGAATTAGATCTTTGGATCAAGAATTTGTAAGCAATCAAGATTTTTTTTCTTTTCTCTTTTTTGTTGGGTGCCAATTAAAAATGTTTTTGTTCTTTATCAATATTTTTAGTAGCAATCATGCTCAGAATTTATGGCCTTTTCTTCTTTGTATTTATATAGTAAATTAATATGGGATGTACCCTGTGCAGTTCAGATAGTTATTTGTAAATGCAGAAAATCTAGGTCCAAGGAAAATTAAGCTGGTATTAATCATTATCATTATGCACACGGACATAAATTCTTAGCATTTGGATTCTATTTTGAGAAGAGCATAAGCTTGAAGTTTTAGGAATGGAAGGAGAGAACGTGTAAATGCTATTGCTTTGATATGTCTATTTGAGGTTATGAAAGTAATATGGGCAGTTTACATGAATATTTGTCTACTCTAATTATATGTCAAGCTTAGTGTAATGTGTGAATTTTCTGCCAGAGGACTTGGCCAGCTATTGAGCACTTAATCAGATTGATAGCCAGACAACATGAGTTGGAGAAATCTTTGGAAACATGTAGGCGTAATTTTCCCAATGATTTTTTTATAATATGTTTTTACAGATAAATCCTGTATGATGTCTGCTGATTTTAGAGCAATGCAGCAAATCAAAAAAAACTTACAGAGCTGTCTGAGATGGTGTGAACTTCTTGTTGATTCTAGTTGTTTTCTGGCATTTCTGCATTGCTTTAGTGATTAGATTATGAGAAAGATCGTTAGGAAGTTTGTCCTGTTATAAGGGCTCGTAAAAGCTTGAGGAATGTACATGGCCTACTTTTTGTCTGATTAGGAAGAATACTGGGCTTTTCATTGCTTTTGACTTCTGTTTAGAGTTCCTTGTAGTTGTGAACCAAGCTGAGTATCAAAATAACCTTGTCCTACAATTGTAGATAGGATTTTGTGGCAGTCTCACTTATCTGCTAATTCACTGTTTCACAGTTCGTAAGCTGCAACATCTAAGTTACCTTGCCCTGTAGTTGCTGTTTTTGTAAATGTTTTTTAGTGCTTTGTGGGGACAAGTATTAGGGTGGTTCTTTAATCCCTGAAGAGTAAAGAGTTAAATAAGTAAAGACTGAGGGTATTCTTTCTTTATTTATCTGTTGCTTTGGTTTTCCCGTTGTCTATCCTATGTTTTGGGAATGGTCACCTCAATATTTTCTTGACATAGTTTCTGGCTTCAGTGTTGATGGTGATGGGAACAGAACTTGTAAGAACTTGTATTAAAGAAGAAAACATGGATATTCCATCCATTCCACCTGGGTTTGAGTCAATTGCTCCATTCACTCTGAAGAAGGTGGAAGATAAAGATATAAAAGTGGATCATTCACCATCTGCTAGTGGTTCTGAATCACAGTCAACCCGCATGGAAATTGAAATTGAATACAGCAAGGAAGGTAAAATTGCAAAGACCCTCAGGCGCAGACCTTGGATAAATTACTGCCATCTGGATAACAGTTCAGGGGATGAATCTGACTCTGAGCAGGTTTTGGTATTGTTTTAAAATTGTTTTCAACTGTATATTCCTTTTGTGCTTGCTTGAACATTGGATGTTATCTACTGCATATCTCCAGGCTTGCATTAGTGTATAGTTTCTGATATTCAAATTGCATTTGCAGAAGCTTTTAAAGTTCCGGCTTCCAAAAGGGGTAATTCGTGGATGTGATGAGTGTGTCAACTGCCAAAAGGTTAGTTTTGTGACCTGATGGTTCTTTTGGGCTTATTCTCATGAACAATGCTTCCTTAACATGTTCAAAAATTCTCCATGTATGTGGAGGTGCATCTGATTTCTTATATGCACCCTTTTTTAGAAAATATAAGATTATTTGCATGCCATTAGATCTTTAGGGTCACTTACAATTGTGATTTGAAATGTATAAATCTGCATTGCTTACACTTGGAAAATTTTTGTCATAAAGTTTTGTTTGCTTTCTATGTCAGTTGGCGAGGTGCTGGTTTTTTATTTTAGGTTGGAAAGAGCTTGATATTTCAGTCATAATATTAAGAGTCCAAAGGTTGTATATTTTGCATTTCCATGGGTTCACAGTTTGGAAATTTGAAAACAGGTAACTGCTAAATGGCGTCCTGAAGAAGCATGCAGGCCTGATCTTAAGGAGGTTCCAGTCTTCTATCCATCTGAAGAGGTCCGTTTTTGTCACTGTTGTTTGATTGCTCTTTCATTGCTTCATACATGATCCTGACCCGACATGTTGTTATCATTGGGTCCCTGTTTGTGTTGGAGTTTAATTTGTTACTATTCGCTTGCTCCTGCGCTTGATAATTGACTGGCTTTATTGGATTATTTGGTACAGGAGTTCGAAGACACTTTGAAATATATAGCAAGCATACGTTCTAAAGCAGAAGCATATGGGATTTGCCGCATTGTGCCACCCCCCTCATGGAAACCTCCCTGTCCTCTCAAGCAAAAGCATAAATGGGAGAATTCAAAGTTTTCAACTCGTATTCAGCGGATTGACAAACTTCAAAATCGGGATTCAACATTAAAGGTGTTAAAAGTTAATCATCAGAAGAGGAAGAAAAGGAGAAGATGCACTAAAGCTGGAGTAGACCATGGAAATGGTAGTGGAGACGCTAAGATCCCTGGTGATTTTGGAATGTATGAGGCTGAGAGATTTGGGTTTGAACCTGGTCCAGAGATTACTCTGCATGCGTTTGAGGAGTATGCTGATGATTTCAAGACGCAATATTTCAGCAAAAGTGATACTACTTCGGACCCAGGAGGAAAGATGAACATGACCCTTGACCAGCGGGAACCCTCAGTGGCGGATATTGAGGGTGAATATTGGCGGATGGTAGAGAGACCTACAGAAGAAATTGAGGTGCTTATCTCGTGATGGATTTTGCATGTTTTAGGATCTTTAGAATTTTCTCCTAATAGCTTTTTGTGAATCTGTTGTTTTCTCTTCAGGTGCTTTATGGGGCTGACTTGGAAACTGGAGAATTTGGCAGCGGGTTTCCAAAAAACTCTGATCAAGTTGGCTCTTCTTCTGATGCAAAGTATGTGACTTCTGGATGGAATTTGAATAACTTCCCTAGGCTCTCAGGTTCTGTTCTCTCATATGAGAGCAGTGACATATCAGGTGTCCTCGTGCCTTGGCTCTACGTAGGAATGTGTTTCTCATCATTCTGTTGGGTAAGGATTGGTGTTCTTCTTTAATTGTAACAAAAATAATGGAATTGACTGCACCTAGAAACTCTGAATGACATGGGTAATCTTTCAAGGTTATGTGATATACGACTTAGACATAAGTAAAGCACCTGGTAGTTTATGCTTGTGGGATTACCATGTGGGAACTACAGTTTTCAATTTGGATGGTTCCAAGTTTTCTTATTTTTTCTTTGTTTAATGTTCATGTTGTTACGATCTAACAGCATGTTGAAGATCACCACTTGTACTCGTTAAATTACATGCACTGGGGAGCTCCAAAATTGTGGTATGGTGTTCCAGGAGCAGATGCTCTGAAACTGGAGGCAGCTATGAGGAAGCATTTGCCTGACCTTTTTGAAGAACAGCCTGACTTGCTCCATAAATTGGTTAGTAAGATTTTCCCTCAATGCAGTAACAATTTAGCTGATTGTTAAAAATGTTTCATGTTATGGACTTCATTCTGATCAGCTGCTTTCTGTTGCTTATTTTTACCACCTTATGATTGCTTTGGAATGGAGTTGTTTCCCAAAAAAGACAGGCCTTTGTCACTTCATGTTTTCTATATATTGATCTTTGAGCATTTTAAATTAGTCTTTCTGAGGGCTTTGTGGTACTGTGCATTTAGTCAAGATCGATTACCATTTACATAGAATCCTGGATTACATTCTGGTTATTGTGATAATTTTGGTATATATCTACATTGTCGGACATTAAATAGTTAGTTTGTGAAATTTTCCATTATACTTCCTTGCCCTGCAATATTTCTTAGTTGAATTCTTCAGTGTTTTTGAGTTCTTTTTATTGTCTTTGTGACTAGGTAACTCAACTTTCTCCTTCCATACTGAAAGCAGAGGGAGTGCCTGTCTATCGATGCATCCAAAATCCTGGAGAGTTTGTTTTAACTTTCCCTCGAGCGTACCATGCAGGGTTCAATTGTGGCTTTAATTGTGCCGAAGCAGTAAATGTAGCTCCTGTTGACTGGTTACCTCATGGCCAGAATGCTATTGAACTTTACCGTGAGCAGGGCCGGAAGACATCGATATCCCATGATAAATTATTGTTGGGGGCTGCAAGGGAAGCAGTAAAGGCACATTGGGAACTTAGTTTATTAAGGAAGAACACTTCAGCCAATTTAAGATGGCGGGATGTGTGTGGTAAGGATGGGATCTTATCTAAAGCATTGAAGGTGAGGAATTTGTATTTTTTAGCTCCTTTACCTCTTAGTGCTTCTCATTGTCTTTTAATTTTCAAGCTGTGGTCAGTAATCTATGACTATTAGTATGGAACCAGTTACTGAATGCCTTTAAGTTGGTTACATGCTTCTTCTGCAACAAATGAAATATGTAACTTAAAGGATGTTTGTTTAGTGACAGTTGGCCATGCATTACAGCCATCTCTGCTCGGATCAACTGCTAATTTTTTTTTTGTTTGTTCCTTTGGCCTAGTCACGAGTGGAGACGGAGAGGGTTAGAAGGGAATTTCTTTGCAGTTCTTCACAGGCACTAAAGATGGAGAGCAGTTTTGATGCTACCAGTGAGAGAGAGTGCAGTGTATGCTTTTTTGATCTGCATCTGTCTGCTGCAGGTTGTCACTACTGTTCACCAGATAAATACGCATGCTTAAACCATGCAAAACAGCTGTGTTCATGTTCCTGGGGCGCTAAATTTTTCCTCTTCCGTTATGACATTAATGAATTGAATATGTTGGTTGAAGCTTTGGAAGGAAAGTTAAGCTCAATATACCGATGGGCAAGACTTGATCTAGGACTAGCCCTGACTTCTATGACTAGGGAGAATTCACAAGCACCTGGGCTTGTTGGTAAGGTATCCTGTACCCCTGAAGGAGCTGCACCCAAAGGACCAAATTTGCAACCAGACACAACTTCTTTAAATGATCAGAAAGCAAAGGGAAATGCAGGGATTGTGAATACCACAAAGGCCATTTGCCAGCAAACTTTGCAGCCAGAGATAACTTCTTTAAATGATCAGAAAGTAAAGGGAAATGCAGGGATTTTGAATACCACAAAGGCTATTTGCCAGCCAACTTTGGTGCAAAAAGAGAAGCTAACTGGAGAGTTATTAGCTTCAGATAAGTTGAAAACTTTCTCCATCTTAGACAACTCTTCACAAAACGTTGTTGATGCAAAACCTAGGCAGCAGTTCAAAAGGGTGCCTTCTCCTGATGTTGAAGCTCGTTCCAGAGGAAAGCCATCGAGCACAGGAAATTCATTTTCTAGACCTGAAGTGAAGAATGGTTCACTTAAAGGGAATGATGATATTATACTCCTTAGTGATGATGAAGGAGAGGAGCTGAGCATGAAACTGTCTGAAAAAGCAGTGGGCGTTCCCAAAGAAAAGGTTAGTTGTTCTAGTAAGAATATGACATCAACAAATAGGACGGCCAATGTACCTTTGATGAGTCCAAAATTGTCCACCTCAGAGTGTGTAAAAGCCGAAGATCTTACACTGGGTGAGAGAAATCTTGAGCTGAATCTGCAAGATCATATTCCCCACAGTATTTCCTTAACCAATACAGGTGCTGATAAAAATACAGAGGGCTTTTCAGGTCAAATAGAGAACCGTCAATGTAACTTGCCAAGTGCGAGTATTAACTCTCTTCGTCCACAGCCATGTGATGGTGAGAAGGCTAATAATGAAGATAGGCTCATAAAGTTGGAAGTAGATGGCAACTCAAGGCCAATAGATAATTTACAAAACCTTTCATCTAATGCATCTGGATCTCAGAATAATTTGGATAGATATTATCGGCAAAAAGGTCCTCGAATTGCTAAGGTAGTTAGACGAATCAATTGTAATGTTGAACCTTTGGAGTTTGGAAAAGTGAGTCCCGGAAAGTTGTGGTGTGATAGTCGGGCTGTCTACCCCAAAGGTGTGAAAATTGTGAATACTCCTTGAAAGTGTTTATTATTAATTTTGTTGCAAAATTTAACGCTTCCATGGAGAGTAATCTTGTTTGTGCTGTCTAACACAGGATTCAAGAGTCGTGTGAGATATATAAATCTTTTGGATCCAACAAACATGTGCTACTATGTCTCTGAAATTCTGGATGCTGGAAAGGAAGGACCCTTGTTCATGGTTAGTAAATCTAGAATACAAATTTCTATTTTCATTTTTAATTTTATTTGGCTTTATTTGTCGCTGTTTTTTGGAGAAAAATTTATCGTAACTGATGTGGAATGCAACTTATTACGTCTTACAGCGTATTTGCCACATCCTTAACCTGTTTGCAAATGACTTCTACATCATTTACTGTCTTTGTGATTAAATTGGTTTTTCCATCACAGGCTCTGCTATCGTTTGAACTCCTTTGATAAACAAAGCATGCCAAAACTGTCTTTTGCATATCTTGTTATTGTGTGGACAACTAATGCATAGGGTATTCAAAGTTTAGATAACTATCACTCAAAATCTGCTAAAGCTTCAATTTTCTGATGGCTCTAAAACGGGGCTCAGAGATATTTAAGATAATTATTGGGGCACGTGTTCTGTAACCATATTTTGTTCCTTTTCTACTACGATGTATCTCCTGGGCACCTGACGTCTTGTTCATTCTGTAAGATTAGAATCCTCTGTGATGGCCTCAACACTGATCGATATATAAGCTTGGCTTATGTATGCTGAGGGAAAATAATTAGATAAACTAGGCACGATTCCATTTTAGACCATGTCGCTAGGATTAAGCCACACCAGCAAATTATGGTACTTTATTTCTTGCTTAGGACCACATTGTGGGTGATGTGGCTTACTTTTCTGCCCAACGTAACATTCATGCAGCCTGTAGATCAGGTCTGCTTTAGTATTGGAAGTAAATGGTCACTCCAAGCTGTACATTATTGTAATGTTGCATTTAGCCCGCAATAGTGGGATTCTTAATTCCATTAGGACGTTCTCTGAAGCTGACAAATGTCAAATGGCATTGCCAGGTCTCATTGGAAGATTCTCCAAGTGAAGTATTTGTCCATGTTTCACCTGCTAGATGCTGGGAATTGGTTCGTGAGAGAGTGAATCAAGAGATTGCTAAGCAGCATAAGTTAGGAAAATTGAAGCTCCCTCCTTTGCAGCCTCCTGGAAGTCTTGATGGCATGGAAATGTTTGGTTTCTCTTCACCAGCAATTGTGCAGGTAATTTATTTGGTAACAAACGTAATGCTTGCTTTAAATCAAATGGTTTGCTGGAGGATGACAGGTGTTACTAATTAATGTAAGGCTCGAAACAGTTTTAATATATATAGTAAAAGAGCATCAACTATATCCTTTTTGTCTCACAAAAGATGTGCATTTTATTCCAAATTCTTTACCATTTAATCATCTTGTATCATTTTTTTACCGAATGATGGAAATATTTACTTGAAATTTTAAAAGCCATTTGACGTACTAATTTACTGGAACTTTGTGCTATTGTGTTTCGGTACTCAAATTATAGTAGGCGTAGGCGTGCATGCATCCAATTACTAAAACTCTCTCTTTTCAGTCTCCCATATTATTTTCTTTCATTGCAAATAGGTTATTCAGGCGATGGACCGGAATAGGGTGTGTACAGAGTATTGGAAGTCAAGGCCTCTGATGCAGATTCCACAACACGCTAAACCTGGAGACACTCTGGGAAACTTGTCTTTGAAGACAGAAGTGTCAAACCATCAAGAGACCAACCAAAGGCAGTCGGTTCCCGTTGCTGTTGATACAAAAATTACCAGCCTATTTAAAAAGGCTGCTCTTGAAGAGCTCCAGGCTCTGTACAGTATTTTGAGCAACAATAATAATCCGGTCAGTGGCCAAAACTTAGTAACTCGGCTTCTTACTGAAGAGGTTCATAGGCGCCAAGATAATTAGTCCACATTCTGAGTTTCATTAGTACCATCCCCAAGATGATCCCTTCTCATTCTCATTGTTGAGTCTGGATTTCCCATAACAAATTCTTTTTATTATTTTTCTTTTTTGTTCTTGAAACTTTGTAAATGCTGAGTACCATTTTTAGGCCACACATGACGGCTTCCAGTGGATCTGGCTCTCTCATAAGTTTTGTACTTGATTGTACCTGAGAGTCTAGTTTCATCAGGTACATATTGGAATTCTGATAATCGCATTCTTTCAGGTGATAGAAAGGAAATTCACATTTTTTGAATCTGTGTCCTTTCTTCCTTTTCTTTTAAGTGGAATTCTGTCCTGTCTTAATGTTAGCTTTATACAGTCTTTCAGGTATATATATGGCTTTCTCTTCGTTTTTATTTTATTTTATTTTATTTAATAAAATACTCTCGGCAATAAAGAAAAGAAAACAAACTCTCAAAGGTTTTACTTTTGGCATGTATTCATGTTATACGCTCTGATTCTGAAACCTCTAGTTATTGTTGTAGCGTAGCGGCAGGAGGTGCTCTACCCTCAGTTTGATTAGGCTATTCCCTTGGGTAAAGTAACTGAACGATTTTTCGGCGGAGGGGATACTCTGTTCATTATATCTGTCAATTTTTTCTATATAATAGAAAACTATGTAGTTTCACTTATTAATACTGTTGATGTGGTACATAACATTGAATGCATATTTAGGGAGTGTTTGGTAAATGAGTTTCAAATTTAATTTTAGCATGGACGGTCTACTTTTTGAATTAACATGACTGCACGTAACTGTAACTCTACTTTTTGAATTAACATGACTGCACGTAACTGTAACTCTGACAAACTCAAAGATCTCGTCCTCAAATGTTGTCGAATCTCATTTGAATCATGCGGCGTGAAATTCCAAAGTAGAAGACTATGGATGCAATTAGGATATTATTAAATTTAAAATTCATTTACCAAACACCCCTTAAATATGCATTCAATGTTATGTATCACATCAGCAATATTAATAAGTGGAACTATTTAATTTTGTATTGGACATGAAAAATGGACAGAGGATCCCGTCTGATTTTTCGGTATATCATACGGATCACTAATCACGGCCTTACATGGGCCGAGTGGGCTCGAGACTAGGATTCTCTCCCTATCCTCCCTCTTGATTTTGGAACAACTGTCAAATGGGCAAAACCCAAAGACTTGGTGCGGTGCTCACTGATCTCAGACGTGGGCAAACAGATCCAAGATTGTGACAGGAGCTTGTCCTTCCCTACGAACAATAGTTTCTGAACTTGGACCGGGAAAGAAAATATGGTTGTGTCTGACTAGACTATTGTGACTAGAAAAAGACCCTTATCTCTTTCTTTGCATAGGTCTTTTTTCCTAGAAAATTTTTAAATTTTCTGTGAACACGTCTTTCAATTACTTTTTTACGTCACATATATCAAAGGTAGCAGTGTCAAAACTAGACCCTTAATATTTGCATTCCTACACGTGGCGTCTTGAAAAGATTTGAGTCAAGCCTTCATTCTCGAGTAAGAGTCGGACTCTACGGACACTTCTCAGACTGAATTCGAATTAGTTTCACTAAAAGTGAGGATACCGGGTGCTAAAAAAAAAAATATCTTACCTCTTCTTCTCATTCTTACTAATGCTGATCAAGAGGACGAATGCATTAACAACTGATGTTAAAGCAGAGAGGCAAAAGGTCATTGCAAGTCCTAAATTCAGTGCCTACTTAAACTGATATATTCATGTATGATTGTATCGAATAAAGTAAACTAGCAGCGTAGCACGTGTAGTGATTATTTCATTTTAGTATCCACTTTCATCTTCCAATACGCCCCCCTAAAATAGAAATAAAAAAAATCAAGAAGATGACAATAATGCAACTTATCCAAACAAAAACATCCATTCTTTCTTGTGAAATGGGTGTCAGCTAGCAGCGTAGACAATTTGAAGAAGTTTTTAGAAGAAAGGGTAAGGACCACCCTAGGCTAGACTAGACTCCACGGTATTGATCATCATATCATTTAGTGAACCAAAGAATTAATCGGCGGACAAGGGTACCCCTAATTAGAAACATACCTTAAATCCAAAGAAGGAAAAATTAGGGGCACTGTACGGACGAAGATCGAATCAGGGGTAACATCAACATGTCACGAATCGGACGGCCCAATTCGAACCACGAGGGCTTTCTAAAGCAATCGTTCGTGAGAGCAACCGGCAACGCAGCTTCGTTTGGGGACGCGGCAAGCGAGGAGGGGAAGAAGAAAGCGGGCTTTGTTGCCCGACAAGCTGTACCGATTGACACGTGGTAGAGCACGCTGTCATTTGGGGGCCCACTTTTGTGCACGTGTCAATGCCGAAAGGGGCGTTTGGGTGTTGGCAACTTGGCCCCCCGCCTAAGATTGCGGGATCTTTTGTTTGTACGGAGATGCAAATCCATATAATACTACTTTACTTTAATAGTCTACTCAAGTAGTGTAATATTTTGGATTAACGTGCAAAAAAAAAAAAAGGATAGTAAAGTTTAATTATCCGCTTGGACTAGATGTTTTTGATGGTATTTTTAAAAATTTTAATGTAACAGCATATATGAAAAACTTTGATTATAAATAATTTTTGAAATAGTTAATATATTGTACAAATAAAATATTTTTATTTATATATTTTTATAATATTGTATTTAAAAATTTTATTTTTGAAATAAATGACCAATCCAAACGAAGTGCATATTCCAATGTTGTAACCTTGATAATAACGTCAAGTATGGTGGTACGATTTTTTTTTTTTCTCCTTATTATCTATCATCATTTCTTCCCAAATGACTTGCTGATTCTCTATCGCCACAACGTACGGCAATAGCGGTCCGCATATTCTTCTTGCTTTGCCTTTGAAGTGCATAAGTTGGAAATTCGCAAACTACTATTCTTGGCCGAGAAGTAGCTAGTGCTGCTTGCTAGTTTATACTACGAAGCAATCGCCAGGCAGCAAGTAGCAACTGCTAACCCCGAGGCTCCCCCGGATCAGGGCTTCACGAATTTCAATTTAAACCAGTTTGTCCCCAGGTGTACATAAATAGATGCATGATGTAAATAAATCTAAACAGGGCATAAATTGTGATGTTAAAAATTGGAAAATAAATATCTCTCTCCCTTGAATTGATTTGAATTGACGCTCACCCGCACGCACTCCCCTCCTCCTTCAAACTCAAGCTTGAACTGCTCTACCTTTTCTTAGGGCTTCGTTTTGATTGCATTTTACTAGATTTTTTATAGAAAAATTACTGTAGCGATTTAATACATGTAAGACAAAAAGGTGATTGAAAAATGTGTCCATGAAAAATGTAACAATTTTTTGAAATCCCAACACTCTTGACGAGCTTGTTTCAAGTTGAATAAAATTCAGACATGAACATGCTAGTCTTACATTTGATCCGGTCCAAACACATTATTATTATTATTATTTCATTCACTGTTTTATGTTTTTGAAACAACAATCACAATATAATACGTTTTAGTTTGTTTTACGGGCTCAACCATATATCTACTATAATCTTCTTTAAATGCCACAAAATGCAAAGCAAAAGCTTTATGTCATTCGCTTTTGTCTTTTGTTCAAAATTTCAATTTTACTTAACCATAAACTTCTTTTTTATTTCTCGTGTGTTTTGTAGAATTAAGAAGATGAGCTACAATCTGCAGGTTGCATGAAAGTGAGGCCCTTTGTCTCTCCAATTCACAAATAGTATACATTATGAAGCTTGTTAAAAGTGAGGCGCATTCATGTCTTTGTTCGCTCTTCTTGTGCTATTAAACCAAACTGCCATAGCAGTATGAATTAAATGGATCGATGCCTAGGTTTACCATTATTTAGTATCTGCACTAACTAGACTAACAATTTTTAGACCTAAATCATGACTCGTTCAAAAAAGGGTATATCAACTATTCGACATCCTTGTAAGTGTCCTATTGAATATTTGTAACCTGACAGATATTATTGTTAGCCAATGGACTGTTTAATGCATACACTTTTTTTTTTGTCAGCAAAAATACATTTGCGAGGCTGTGGTAGGGGGCTAGTGAGTATACAGACCCAACTAAACCAAAGAAGTGCTATGGCACAATTCTTAGATTTTTTTTGCTGCAGGTGAGGGTTCAAGCCCCTCCCTAGTGGCTACCGAGCCATTGGCCCAGTGGTTGTTAAATGCATACACTCAATACAGTAGATGTTGAGGTACGATCGCTGGGAAGTGTAAAGGCATCTCTTCTTAAAACCAAACATAATTTGAATGGCTTGAAGTGGAATGTGTAAAGCAAAGACACATTTCCCACTTTAGGGTTGAAGATTTTAAAGGCAAAATTAGTCCGCAGACTCCAATATTTCTAGTTGATATAAAAATGCTTGGCAGCTAGGTTGAGTTCTAGTAATGTTAAAGATAATGCTCTCTTCTCATTCTATTTTCGTTTGCAATTTAAACTTGAAGTTGATGATTTTCAATTGGATTCGGAAAACAAAACCGGATTTTGGTTGTAGGAAAAGAAATAGATTATGCCAATTTCGCTTGCTATGAACCTATAGAACAAGAAATTGTAGTTTAGAAGAATGTCAAAAAATTCAATAAACCTAAATGAATAGCTAGAGGGCCAACAGGATCAAATGTACAATTAGAAGCCTATTCTAGCTGGATCACCCCTTCCTCCTAACTTTTTCCTGGGGCTAAATCATCACTCTCACAAAAACAAAATATGTAGACTAGAACATTATCATGACTTATTAGCCATATTTCAGCTATTATTTAGAAGACTGGGATAATTTCAGAAACCTCTCTTGAGGTTTTTAATAATTTTACCTAAAAAATTACACATACCTTCCCTAAGTTTACTGTTTTGGTAACAAAAATTGATCAATGGTCAAACTTTTGAATGAATAGTCTAAAATACCCTCATAAAATTGTGAAGTTCATTTTACCTTTTTATAAAATTCTTTAAAAAAATATGGAACATTCTTTAAAAAATTTCAAATCCACTTTCAACCCTCATCTCTACAAATTTAAACCTTTCATATTACCACATCTCAAATTAGTACCATTATCACCATGACCACTACCACAATCAATCCCTAAATTCTAAAGCCTCAATCTAAGTTTAAAAAAAAAAAATCAGCATTGTTAAACACAAAAAAATTCAATGACTGCATTAATATAATATCCTATCTTTCAAATGTTGGAGTACCAATACCAGGTCCGTCCTTTTTAAACTTTCAACTTACATATTCTTCTTTAAATC